GAGGGGAGCTGTGTGATGGCTGGGGTTAGTACTGTATGTAATAGTGGGGAGAGGGGAGCTGTGTGATGGCTGGGGTTAGTACTGTATGTAATAGTGGGGAGCTGTGTGATGGCTGGGGGTTAGTACTGTATGTAATAGTGGGGAGAGGGGAGCAGTGTGATGGCTGGGGTTAGTACTGTATGATGGCTGGGGTTAGTACTGTATGTAATAGTGGGGAGAGGGGAGCTGTGTGATGGCTGGGGTTAGTACTGTATGTAATAGTGGGGAGAGGGGAGCTGTGCGATGGCTGGGGTTAGTACTGTATGATGGCTGGGGTTAGTACTGTATGTAATAGTGGGGAGAGGGGAGCTGTGCGATGGCTGGGGTTAGTACTGTATGATGGCTGGGGTTAGTACTGTATGTAATAGTGGGGAGAGGGGAGCTGTATGATGGCTGGGGTTAGTACTGTATGTAATAGTGGGGAGAGGGGAGCTGTGTGATGGCTGGGGTTAGTACTGTGTGATGGCTGGGGTTAGTACTGTATGTAATAGTGGGGAGAGGGGAGCAGTGTGATGGCTGGGGTTAGTACTGTATGTAGATGAACCAGCCAGTGCTGAAATGTAAAGCCCTGGGCCTGATGCTATGATTGTATCAGTAGCAGATGTTGTCAGTAGCTGCACAGTGCTAGATCCCGTAAATGTTGATAGTGATTTTTTCCCATAATGTATTGAAAATGGTAAGCTGATGACTTCTTTCTGTCTGTCATAGGACATTGGTAACCGGTGGATGGAGGATACCTGCTGTGGGTGTGTCAGTATGGGTTTAAATGGGGAGTGTTTTTGTGCAGCTTCAGTCTTTTTAGTCAGACGACTCGGCGAGTTAACTGAAGTATGTGCAGCCAGCGGCTGACTTCACTTGCTGTCAGAAGTAAGGGTGTGTGAGGAACTGAATCAGTGAATGTTATGAATGTCAGCCATGTCTGCTCGGTTGACTGGCAGTAACATGAGTAGGCCTAGTAGTGTACCATTCAGAACAGGAAACTCTAGAATAAATAAACTCCGTAAAATCGGACATTTAGAAAATGGTTTACATTTTTTATGACTTAGAAGTGATATAGCTACGGTATTCAGATTTTATTGTACAGTAAGATTTGGCCAAAATGAATAACAGTTGATGAAGCCATTTTGCAGACCCTCTCTGTGTTCCCAAGGATGTCAAATACAGTCTAGAGCGCAGGGAACAGCAGCATTGCAGCAGTGTAGCTGTTGCTGCCTGGAGACGGTGGGGATCCTATTACACAATGCCTCAGTTATTTCCTGAGCTTGGCTGCTGCAGCAGGGATACGGATAGTGATGGTGGGCACTCTGTTAGCTCTGTAAGCACTTAGTTCATGTTGTTTTAGCTGTGTGTATCTACCCCCATTTTGTGTGTTTTCGTCCTTCTTAGTTTGAAGAAGTACACTTCCAAGTCAAAAGTTTGGACACACCTACTCATTCAAGGGATTTTCTTTATTTTTACTATTTCTTACATTGTAGAATAATAGTGAAGACATCAAAACTATGAAATAACACATATGGAATCATGTAGTAACCATAAAAGTGTTAAACAAATCAAAATATGCTTAGCATATGTGGGAACTCCTTCAAGATGGTTGGAAAAGCATTCCAGGTTAAGCTGATTGAGAGAATGCCAAGAGTGTGCAAAGCTGTCATCAAGGCAAAGGGTGGCTATTTGAAGAATCTCAAATATAAAATATATTTTGATTTAACACGTTTTTGGTTACTACATGATTCCATATGATTTTACATTTTAGTCATTTAGCAGACGCTCTTATCCAGAGCGACTTACAGTTAGTGAGTGCATACATTTTTCATACTGGCCCCCCGTGGGAAACGAACCCACAACCCTGGCGTTGCAAGCGCCATGCTCTACCAACTGAGCTACAGGGGACCTATACATATGTGTTATTGCATAGTTTAGATGTCTTCACTATTATTCTAAAATGTAGAAAATTGTAAAAATAAAGAAAAACCCTTTGAATGACTGACTAGGTGTGTCCAAACTTTTGACTGGTAGTGTACGTAATCTAAAAGACTCTCGACCACAGTTAGAGGTTACAATGGAGTCAGCTTGCTTGTTGTCTATATCAGATGCCAGGGACAGTGTATAATTACCCAACATTTTGTGGTTTTTTTTTTTTGTCCTTTAGTTTGTTGAAGCTTTGTATAAACAGACACTTTTACTCAACCACAGTTGCTTCTATGAGGAATCAGATTTCGTCTGTGATGTTCCCTTCCCACGGTACTGGCACCACAACGTTCACAGAAGATCCTCAACAATCAACAGTGCTGAGTCAGTCAGAGAGTGGATGACCCAGAGCAGAGCTAAGAGACCGAGACCATTAAGGGACCGTTCCATTCCTGGACACAGAAGCCAATGGCTGTGTCCCACATGGCACCCTTTTCCCTATAGTGTACTACTTTTGAGCAGGCCCTTATAGGCCCTTAAAGTAGTGCACTATATAGGGAATAGCATTCCATTTGGGTCTCTGGCAAGAACCCATTCTCTACCAGCCAGTGCAGCATTATCCACTGTTCTGTTGGACAATAAATAGGAAATTCGTGATACAATCGGATTAGTAACAGGCCAGAGGTTCGAGGTCTTTTTTGGCCCTAATGAGATTGGCACAGGAAGACCTTTTTCATGTTGGTATTTGGTAGCCTGAAATCCAAACTGTGAAACAGAGTATATCAGTATGGATTCCAGACTAGTTCCTTTGTATTTCGTGGGTGTAAATTACTCCAATCAAAAGAATCCCTCAGGTCAGAAAAGAGAACCATAGCTTCAATACTGACACTAAAACAGTGTAGAAACGCTGCATATATATATATACCATTTGTATGGATGAAGCATGTATCATCATGGGTTTTCTCTTCTTCTTGATTTCCCCCTTTTCTTTGCCCCCAAACTCTTCTCAGTTAGTCTCTGGCACTAAATGGACTGGGCCCATATCTCTCTGCTGTGAGGGCTGGATTGTTTGGTCCTGGCTAGTAGTTATCATAGCAGCCCTGTGTCCAGTTTTGGCTGAGATTTGCTCTAACTGCTGTGGACTGAGAAGGACTAATGGTGTACAGTGGTGTCTGCCGTGCAGCCCGGAGACGGTGGTGTCTGCCGTGCAGCCCGGAGACGGTGGTGTCTGCCGTGCAGCCCGGAGACGGTGGTGTCTGCCGGGCAGCCCGGAGACGGTGGTGTCTGCCGGGCAGCCCGGAGACTTATTATATATTTTTATTTATTTAACTAGGCAAGTCAGTTGAGAACAAATTCTTATTTACAATGACGGCCTACTCCAGCCAAACCCGGACGACGCTGAGCCAATTGTGTGCCGCCCTATGGGACGCCCAATCACTGCCACTCGGGAGCTCCCAAGACGGTGGTGTCCAAAGAGGCCTACTTGAGTTGTCAGACTTCCCTAGCCTTGGGCCCCGCTCAAATACTGTCACAATGATTGATCCCCATCCTTTTCTTTCTTGAGGTAGTCACTGGTCTAACATGATTGGATAGGTTAGATTAAAGAGGAATCCACTGCATTGAGTTCACCAATCATGTCAGATCAGGGATTGATTACTTCACTGAAGGGAGGAAGGAAGGATGCACATTACGTTATCCCCTCAGACAGCCTTGATAGAAATGAGCCTGGATCAATCGACTCCAGCCGCTCTACGTTGATTCTCAAATGAAAATCTCTGTGTGATGTCTGGCAGCGTGAGACTACTGTCCTCTGTCTCATATCCATCTCGCCCTGATATCAATGCTGTTCTGTGTAAATGGGAGATGGTGGTGCAACCTGTCCTGTGCCATTCATGTATCGCAACAACAAGCTCTCATAGCTCTGCTATGCAACAGAATCACTGCCTTCCACTCTCTGGACAGATAATGGCATTTCACTGTAACTCCCTTACTCACTGTGTTAGCAACGTCAATGTTTGGTTGGCATGCTGGTATGCTGATAAATGGATACATTTTCATTTTATCCCCTGTAATGATGACAGTTGAGTGTCTGTTTTGTATCTAGACTGACTAAACCAGAGGAAATGGACAGGAAATCAATAAGCCCTGGGGGGTGTGGTCACACTATCAAAACAGGAAGCAGCAGAGGTGATGTTTGGGGAACCAAGCGTGACGTGACTCCATCTGGCTGCCTGCCTTGGATATTAAATGTAACCTTGATTAAACTATGTGTTCTTTAGGCAACAAACTTAATGGACTGAAGCGGGGGAGAGACTACCTGGGATTATCTAATAATACATGCTCATTTTTGTTTTCTGTTTTTAAAACATTTTGGTACGATCTGCGGTGTTTCCTAAACTGGGGGTCGGCGGAGGTAATCCCTAATCGAATGGGGATTATGGAGAAAAACAGAAATGAAGCCAGACAACGGAGTGTCCATGATCATCCGACATTGTACAGGAGACGGGGGGGAAACACGTTAGGCCCTATCTGACGTTTTGCGCCGCTTTGGTGCTTTCCGTTCTGTCTACAATCTACATCGCCCAACCCTAGTGCAATACAATACAATGTGATATTATTCATCTACAATATACCCTTATATGCACAACAGGGCCTGGGAGGCTCACAGGGATCCATAGTACTCCATCAATGATCCAGTTTGCAATTAAATACTTATTGAATTCCCTAAAGTTGTTTTGAACATAAGGGCACTGTTCTTTAAGCTTTAAAACGGCAAAATTGTCTCTCTGCCCCATGGGAAAATGTGTAGAGTTGCAGGAAATTAGCTGTAAAACTGCTAAATGTTCTCTCCGATGTGAAGTGGGGCCTTTAAAATGTTCTTTCACAGGGCCTGAGACTTGGTTAGTCCGGCCATGCACTGCAGAAGTCATATTAAAACTCCTTGTATGCTATTTTTGAGGGGGGGGGCCTGATTTTTTTTATAATTTGCTATCAGAAAAGGGGTCCCTGGCACCAAAAGGTTTGGAACCCCCTGCCCTAATGAACACAACCCATGTTCTCACTCCGGACCGTTCTTTTCATCACCAGGAGCCAACAGACCCGGTGATGAACGGTGACTCAGGTGCCGGGGTGGTGACTGCACCCCCTCCCACCACCGCCCCCCACAAGGAGCGCTACTTTGACCGTGTGGACGAGAGCAGCCCAGAGTACCAGAGGGAGAGGAACATGGCACCAGACCTCAGACAGGACTTCAACATGATGGAGCAGAGGAAGAGGGTCTCCATGATCCTGCAGAGCCCGGTAGAACACGCACACATTAATGTGCAAACACAGAACTCGCACAGTACATACACACGCATGTGTACACACGGTATACAGTGCTACTCATCTTCTAGCCTATGTCCCAATGTCATGTCACCAACATATGACATAGTCGAACATATTGGTACAAAAAGCTTCCCCACTTTTTTTGATTTTTTTGTGACAAATGATAACCACGGTACATTATAACCACATTAAAACCACGGCCGTTATAACACGGTCAACATTATAACCCCGGTCACATATAACCCACATTATACCACCGGGTCACGTATAACCCAACATTAGAACCACGGGTTCACGTTATAAACCCACCATTATAACCCACGGTGCAAATGATAACCACAACCACGGGTCAGTTATTAAACCTACGGTCACGTTTCTATAACCACGGTCACATGATAAACCCCGGGTAGTGATTAACCCACGGCTCAAGTTATAACCACGGTCACGTTATAACCCACATGATAACCCACGGTCACGTTATAACCACGGTCACGTTATAACCACGGTCACGTTATAACCACGGTCACGTGATAACCACGGTCACGTTATAACCACTCACGTGATAACCACTGTCACATTATTACATCTACATTTTAGTAATTTAGCAGACTCTCTTATCCAGCGCGACTTACAGTAGTGAGTTCCTACATTTTCATACTGGTCCCCCGTGGGAATCGAACCCACAACCCTGGCATTGCAAGTGCCATGTTCTACCAAGTGAGCCACATGGGATTATAACCACTATCACATTATGACCACTGTCATGTTATAGCCACTGTCACGTTATAACCACTGTCACGTTATAACCACTATCACGTTATAACCACTATCACATTATAACCACTATCACGTTATAACCACTGTCACGTTATAACCACTGTCACGTTATAACCACTGTCACGTTATAACCACTGTCACGTTATAACCACTGTCACGTTATAACCACTGTCACGTTATAACCACTATCACGTTATAACCACTGTCACGTTATAACCACTGTCACGTTATAACCACTATCACATTATAACCACTTAACACTGTCTCTCTCAAACACAGTACTGTTCTCTCAGCAGCACTTAGTTTTAGCCCAGTGTATAAAAACTCAGTGTTTACACCCCAGCCCTTTTAGTGACAGAAGCAAGGCATTCTTTGTGATGCTGTGGATGGGGACCAGAGCAGGGTCTATGGCTAGGCAGAATTTATATGGGTCAGAAAGGAGATGAGCTCCTTCAGGGCTGCAATGACACACACACACACACACACACACACACACAATGAGACAGTGCAGCTGGAGGTAACAAAAAGGACTGTGTAAAAAGAATGTTGTTGAGAGATCTGTTGTTTCACCCTGCAGATGAGTTATTACCATCAGGACATGTAGGTAGGTTTGACACAACATGGAAAACAGTTGCCAACATAGGAACTATGTAACTCCTTAGTTCTTGTTGGCAGTGCTTCTGTAATATGCGAGTGATTTCTTTCTTTACTTTGCCTGTTCCTGCTAGCAATGTTTATCAGATTGGAGCCTTTCTTTCTAGTCTCCCCTCTGCAATGCGGCAGTCAACAGGCACTTGTGACATCGTCAAGAAGCGATAGCAAGAGAACACAGACAGACAGAACATAGAGGCTCTTTTACTTCAAATCACTTCCTGTCTGGATTTAATCGGAACCGTGGATTCTGTAGTAGAGGAACTAAGAATAGCCAACTAGTGACGTCTGTGTGGTCTGTCTGTGTCCCTGTCTGACTGTGTCCCTGTCTGTCTGTGTCCCTGTCTGTGTCTGTCTGACTGTGTCCCTGTCTGACTGTGTCCCTGTCTGACTGTGTCCCTGTCTGTCTGTGTCTGTCTGACTGTGTCCCTGTCTGACTGTGTCCCTGTCTGACTGTCTGTGTCCCTGTCTGACTGTGTCCCTGTCTGTCTGTGTCCCTGTCTGTCTGTGTCCCTGTCTGACTGTGTCCCTGTCTGACTGTGTCCCTGTCTGACTGTGTCCCTGTCTGACTGTGTCCCTGTCTGACTGTGTCCCTGTCTGACTCTGTCCCTGTCTGACTCTGTCCCTGTCTGACTCTGTCTACTCCCCAGGCGTTCTGTGATGAGCTGGATACGATGATTCAGGACCAGCTGAAGAGGGGAAAGACTCCCACCAGCCTGTTGGCCCTGCAGCAGATAGCTGACTTCATGACCACCGGTATCCCCACCATGTACCCTGCAGCACCACAGGGAGGCATGGCTGCACTCAACATGAGTGAGTAAAATACAGTCTAAACCTTTCCTTTCCCTTCAGTCCTTACCAGTCTGATTTAATCTAATTCAGTGTTTCCCAAACCTCTCCTCCAGTATCCCCAGCCAGTCCAAACCTCTCCTCAGTACCCCCAGCCAGTCCAAACCTCTCATCAGTACCCCCAGCCAGTCCAAACCGCTCCTCAGTACCCCCAGCCAGTCCATACCTCTCCGCAGTACCCCTGCCAGTCCAAACCTCTCCTCAGTACCCCCAGCCAGTCCATACCTCTCCGCAGTACCCCTGCCAGTCCAAACCTCTCCTCAGTACCCCCAGCCAATCCAAACCTCTCCTCCAGTACCCCTGCCAGTCCAAACCTCTCCGCAGTACCCCCAGCCAGTCCATGTATTTAATGTATTCCAGAAGTATCACAGTTGATTTAACTAATGAGGGGCTAGATGATTAGGTGACCATTTTGAATCAGCTGTGTTTTTTCTGGAACAACATCAAGTAAGTGGACTTCCTGAAGAGGTTTGGGAAACACTGATCTAATGTATACTTATAATGTAATGTATATGGAGCTAAATACACAGTATGAGCTATGTGTGATACATCTACCCTGCAGCACCGCAAGGAGGCATGACTGCCTTCAACATGAGTGAGTATTATATCTAGATGATGTAGAATCACTAGCTAGTTAGCGGAGCACTAGTTTGTTACTTTTGTATTTATAGTGTACATGTATGTGGACACCCCTTCAAATTAGTGGATTTGGCTATTTCAGCCACACCCTTTGCTGACATGTGTATACAATCGAGCACACAGCCATGCAATCTCCATAGACAAACATTGGCAGGAGAATGGCTTTACTGAAAGAGCTCAATTACTTTCAATGTGGCACCGTCATAGGATGCCACCTTTCCAACAAGTCAGTTCGTCAAATTTCTGACCTGCTACAGCTGCCCCGGTCAACTGTAAGTGCTGTTATTGTGAAGTGGAAATGTCTAGGAGCAACAACGGCTCAGCCGCAAAGTGGTAGACCACACAAGCTCACAGAACGGGACTGCTGAAGCGCGTAGTGCGTCAAAATCGTCTGTCCTCGGTTGCAACACTTACTACAGAGTTCCAAACTGCCTCTGGAAGCAACTTCAGCACAAGAACTGTTCGTCAGGAGCTTCATGAAATGGGTTTCCATGGCCGAGCAGCCGCTCACAAGCCTAAGATCACCATGCACAATGCCAAGCCTCGGCTGGAGTGATGTAAAGCTCTCCGCCATTGGACTCTGGAGCAGTGGAAACGCGTTGTCTGGAGTGATGAATCACGCTTCACCATCTGGCAGTCCGACGAACGAATCTGGGTTTGGCGGATGATACCTGCATAGTGCCAACTGTACAGTTTGGTGGCGGAGGAATAATGGTCTGGGGCTGTTTTTTCATAGTTCAAGTGAAGGGAAATCTTAACCCTACAGCGTACAATGACATTCTAGACTATTCTGCGCTTCCAACTTTGTGGCAACAGTTTGAGGAAGGCCCTTTCCTGTTTCAACATGACAATGCTCCTGTTCACAAAGCGAAGTCCATACAGAAATGTTTGTTCAGATCGGTGTGGAAGAACTTGACTGGCCTGCATAGAGCCCTGACCTCAACCCCTCGAACACCTTTGGGATGAATTGGAACGCCGACTGCGAGCCAGGCCTAATCAACCTGACCTCACTAATGCTCTTGTGGCAGAATGGAAGCAAGTCCCCGCAGCAATGTTCCAACATCTAGTGGAAAGCCTTCCCAGAAGAGTGGAGGCTGTTATAGCAGCAAACGGGGGACCAACTCCATATTAATGCCCGTGATTTTGAAATGAGATGTTGGACGAGCAGGTGTCCACATACTTTTGGTCATGTAGTGTGTGTATATAACCCTCTCCAGAGTCTTCAGCCCCTACCAATAATGCCTTTTTAATGCATACATTATGGAGGTATGAGGCATTTGGCTACTGTGATGTGATTTCATCCACCAAGAGTAAATACCGTAGTGCAGTATACCTAGTGTACCTAGCTAGTATACAGTACTCCAGCTGCTAGTGTACTTAGCTAGTGTACAGTACTCCATCACCTAGTGTACTTAGCTAGTATACAGTACTCCATCACCTAGTGTACTTAGCTAGTATACAGTACTCATCACCTAGTGTACCTAGCTAGTATACATTACTCCAGCACCTAGTGTACCTAGCTAGTATACATTACTCCAGCTGCTAGTGTACTTAGCTAGTGTACAGTACTCCATCACCTAGTGTACTTAGCTAGTATACAGTACTCCATCACCTAGTGTACTTAGCTAGTATACAGTACTCATCACCTAGTGTACCTAGCTAGTATACATTACTCCAGCACCTAGTGTACCTAGCTAATATACATTACTCCAGCTGCTAGTGTACTTAGCTAGTGTACAGTACTCCATCACCTAGTGTACTTAGCTAGTATACAGTACTCCAGTACCTAGTATACCTAGCTAGTATACATTACATTACTCCAGCACCTAGTGTACCTAGCTAGTGTACAGTACTCCATCACCTAGTGTACCTAGCTAGTATACAGTACTCCATCACCCAGTGTACCTAGCTAGTATACAGAACTCCAGCACCTAGTGTACCTAGCTTTTATACATCCATGCTGCTTTGTGTGTTTACGTACAGTATACGTCAAGCACTTAGGTCCCCTCAGGCCAAGATGGCCTCCGCTGAGTTCAGAGGTCGGTAGTCGTGTTGTAGAATGTAACTACATGCTTCTTAACCATAGACGCTTTGTAATTATAGACAGACTCTATGTTTAAATTGACATATTATTCTTTGACTGAGGTGAGTGAATTCAATTCAAAGGGATTTATTGGCATGGGAAACATATATGTTTACATTGCCAGAGCAAGTGAAATAGATCAACAAAAGTGAAACAATAACAAGTGAACAGTAAACATTTCACTCACAAAAGTTCAAAAGGAATATAGACATTTCAATTGTCACATTATGGCTATATACAGTGTTATAACGAAATGCAAATATTTCTCTCTCCCTTTACAGGTCTGGGCATGGTAACCCCAGTGAATGACCTGCGTGGATCTGACTCAATCTCCTATGAGAAGGGAGAGAAGCTGTTTCGCTGTAAGCTAGCCGCCTTCTACCGCCTGACAGACCTCTTCGGCTGGTCCCAGCTCATCTACAACCACTTAACCGTAAGACATCCTTCTAATGTACTTCTCTAGTCTTTATCCACTGGTATGTCATTGAAATGGACTCCTAGTCAGTACAAAACACCAGAAGAGATATGTAGGACAGGATTTCTTTTTTTTTACTGCAGTATATTGTAGTGCTTTGCACATTTAACCTGCAGAATATATTTTCCGACAGCTCTGTATGAACATGTGGGGTTGGCTAGGTTAGGAGGTTAGTTTAGTAAGCATTATATTGTTGATGAAACATCAAAAGATTGTGAAAAATACTAACTGCATTCTAGTGTGTGAGCCATTTGGTGTAAATTCCCCAGGCTTGTTTGTTTGTTACTGCTTGTTAAGACCGCAATCTGCACTCACGTCTTCCAGGTCCGGGTGAATTCAGATCAGGAGAGGTTCCTGATTGTCCCTTTTGGGCTTCTGTACAGTGAAGTCTCCGCCTCCAGTCTGGTAAGATTCTCCCCCAGTGTCTCACTCTTAAAGGCTGCCTGCATAATGTGTGACAACGCTGTGAACGTACAGACAATTACCATCTTAGGTTATGCTGAATGCATTTTAATTAGTGATTTAAATAAGTGATTGTCATTCAACCTCCATCATCCAAACACAGAGGTTGTCCTACATGGCATTTTTATCTGCAAAGCAATTGTGTTTAAAATGCCAGCAGTGTGGCCTTGAATAGCACTGTACCTTTAAAACAAAGGTAGGGGCGTGGATCAGAAAACCAGTCAGTATCTGGTGTGACCACCATTTGCCTCATGCAGCGTGACACATCTCCTTCGCATAGAGTTGATCAGGCTGTTGATTGTGGCCTGTGGAATGTTGTCCCACCCCTCTTCAATGGCTTTGTGAAGTTGCTGGATATTGGCGGGAACTGGAACACGCTGTTGTACACTTCGATCCAGAGCATCCCAAACATGCTCAATTGGTGACATGTCTTGTGAGTATGCAGGCCATGGAAGAACTGGGACTTTTTCAGTTTCCAGGAAGTGTGTACAGATCCTTGCGACATGGGGCTGTGCAATATCATGCTGAAACATGAGGTGATTGTGGCGGATAAATGGCACGACTATGGGCCTCAGGATCTCGTCACGGTATCTCTGTGCATTCAAATTGCCATCGATAAAATGCAATTCTGTTCGTTGTCTGTACATTATGCATGCCCATACCATAACCCCACCGCCACCATGGGGCACTCGTTCACAACGTTGACATTAGCAAGCCGCTCGCCCACACGACGCCATACACGTGGTATGCGGTTGTGAGGCCGGTTGGACGTACTGCCAAATTTTCCAAAATTACTTTGGAGGCGGCTTATGGTAGAGAAATTAACATTAAATTATCTGGCAACAGCTCTGGTGGACATTCCTGCAGTCAGCATGCCAATTGCACTGGCATTGGGTTGTGTGAAAAAACTGCACATTTTAGTGGCCTTTTATTGTCCCCAACACAAGGTGCACCTGTGTAATGACCATGCTGTTTAATCAGCTTCTTGATATGCCACGCCTGTCAGGTGGATGGATTATCTTGGCAAAGGAGAAATGCTCACTAACAGGGATGTAAACAAATGTGTGCTAAACATTTTAGGGAAATAAGCTTTTTGTGTATATGGACAATTTCTGGGATCTTTTATTTCAGCTCATGAAACATGGGACTAACACTTTACATGTTGCGTTTATATTTTTGTTCAGTATAGTTACTCTACAATACTATCCTAAATGACAGAGTAAAAAGAAGGAACCCTGTATATAATTTCAAGTATGGTGGTGGCTGCATCATGTTCTGGGTATGCTTGTATCATGTTCTGGGTATGCTTGTCATCGGCAAGGACTAGGGAGCATAAAAAACGGAATAGAGCTAAGCACAGGCAAAATCCTAGAGGAAAACCTGGTTCAGTCTGTTTTCCAACAGACACTGGGAGAAAGTCTATGGCAAAATTTGAAAATGGCTGTCTAGCAATGATCAACAACTAACTTGACAGAGCTTGAATAATTTCTTTAAAGAATAATGTGCAAATATTGTACGATCCAGGTGTGCAAAACTCTTAGACTTACCCAGAAAGACTCACAGCTGTAATCACTACCAAAGGTGCTTTTACAAAGTATTGACTCAGGGGTGTTAATACTTATGTAAATTAGATATTTCTGTATTTCATTTTCAATACATTTGCAAACATTTCTAAAAACATGTCTTTATGGGGTATTGGGTGAGAACATTTTTGAATTCAGGCTGTAACACAACAAAATGTGGATTAAGTGAAGGGCAATGAATACTTCCTGTAGGCCCTCTGTAGCTCAGTTGGTAGAGCATGGCGTTTGCAACACCAGGGTTGTGGGTTCGATTCCCACGAGGGGCCAGTATGAAAATGTATGCACTCACTAACTGTAAGCCGCTCTGGATAAGAGCGTCTGCTAAATGACTAAAATGTAAATGTAAATGCTGAGTCACTGGTCCTTCAAGGCCGAAGCTGCCTTCAACACTTAGCCCTTGCCAAGACGGCACAAACAGATCTGGGACTCAGGCTAGCATCGTAAGTTAAGTCACAAGGCATTGACTTTCTGCTGCCTGTCTGGTCCTATTCTAGGTATATCATCTTTTTTAGATTGTTTATTTAAGCAATAATGCCTGAGAACCCGGGAATCTTCGTGTAACAACTCCTGACATGGGCTGTTCTGAGGCCTGAGGTGAAGTCAAGGGATACAGCCCTTTGAGGGAGTTGTCACGCGTACATTCCTGGGTTCGAGGGCATTATTGATGTTCTAAAATGGTTGCCAACATATTTATACAAATATTAATAATGAGTAGATTTGTTTTTGCATTCTGAAGTTGCTACCCAAGCGGGCTGGTTGTTAGTTATTTTCTCATGTTTTCACACAGTTATTAATTCTTATCATTCTATTCATTCCACGTTGCTATGCTAAACAAATCGTTGGCATGTAGCTAACTTAGCTAGCAGAGATTCAACGATGACAAAGACAAGAACTTCAATAAATAATGATTGGATAAATATCCAATATACCAACATAGGCAACAACTATTATGGTTGGCGAGTCCGAGCTAGCCAAGCTGATTGGTGATGTTAATAGTTTACTGTTTCCATGGTGAATTATTAGTTTCACGTTCATTCTTGGGCTAGTTAGCCTATTGACACGGGAGAGTTCGTATTTGTAAAATGATACATTGTTGCACAGGTCGTAGTGGCAGACAGGCAGGTTTACACAACCCCCAACTGTTGCAAAACAAATGGTAGCATGGAAAAGTAATGTGTAGACGCTGAGGGAGATGAAGTTTATTAATTTCCTGCCTGGGCTGCGGGACAGTGGAATTATGACGTTAACAGGTTGTGGTATTTTGTATACTGTATCAACCAATCAGCATCCAGGATCCAAACAGCCCGTTTTTTTATAATTATTGTTCACTTACAGCATCACTGTGGGCTTTCAGTCATAAGGCCTCACTGTTGCCTCTCTGGTCCTATCCCATTGAGCTACATTGGTAATGTGTCCTATCGTTTTTAATTCTGTGTCCCATCCTAGGTGAAGATTAACATACAAGGGGAGATGGTGGACCGAGGGAGCACCAACCTGGGGATCAACCAGGCTGGCTTCACTCTCCACTCAGCCATCTACGCGGCCCGGCCAGACATCAAGTGCATCGTACACGTTCACACACCGGCTGGAGCTGCAGTAAGTTTCCGGCGATTCTAGCAACTATGGTGGATACATAACCAGGCCGGCTCAGTACGTCGGCTTGGCTCAGTAGTGTGAAAAAGGGTATATACTGGTCACATTTGATATGCTCTTCTTAATGATATGAGTTTTGTCAAACTTGGATCTTGAAATAATAAGTGTCACTAGTCTCTTCCCACAGCTGCTTGGTAGAGAAACCCATGAGTTTGGCACCGAAAAGTACTAACATTCGTCAGCTGTTGTAGTGGATAACTACAGCACACCCTATCTGCAGTGGTGAACAACTACAGTCTGTCTGTGTTTCAGGTGTCGGCCATGAAGTGTGGCCTGCTGCCCATCTCTCCAGAGGCCCTGACACTGGGGGAGGTGGCCTACCATGACTACCACGGCATCCTCGTAGACGAGGAGGAGAAGGTCCTCATACAGAAGAACCTGGGCCCAACCAGCAAGGTATCGGAGGCAGAGAGAGTGTGTCACACTCTTGTCCTTCCCCTTGGCCCTAAACCTCTAGTGCAGGGCTCTCCAACACTGGTTCCTGGAGAGCTGCCCTCCTGTAGGTTTTTGGCTTCAACCCCAGTTGTAACTAACCTGATTTGGCTTATCAACCAGCTAATTATTAGAATCCGGTGCGCTAGATTAAGGTTGGAGTGAAAACCTACAGGACGGTAGCTCTCCAGGAACAAGGTTGGAGTGAAAACCTACAGGACGGTAGCTCTCCAGGAACAGGGTTGGAGAGTCCTGGTCTAGTGTTTACAGATCTAAAAATGTCTGGATCGGTATAAGCAGTGTAATTGCCTACACCTTACAGATCTGCAACCTCTAAGGTTTAAGGCTGAGGGGGAAGGGAGTGAATTGGGACCGGCTACAAGTGTGTGTAGGTATACTGAGCACCTGTGTTTGTCTTTGTCCCACAGGTCCTGATCCTGAGAAACCATGGTCTGGTTTCTGTTGGGGAGACTGTGGAGGAAGCCTTCTACTATATCCACAACCTGGTCACTGCGTGTGAGATCCAGGTAGGACACTGTCCGGACTGTTTTCACCTCAGACTTAGATTTCTATGAGAAGCTGCTCTTATGCTGCTCTGCCACTGCTCTGCCACTGCTCCCAGACTTCAATAAATGATACATTGTGTTGTATTTTTATAAAGAGGGGCTTATATTGTTACTCTCAGACAAGATGCCAGCTCTGGGAGCATTTGCCAAGTGTGATGCAGACCAATTTATACCCAACACAATACTTTATTCTGCATGTGACATGACCGTGTCTGTGACTGAATGACTTTGTGTGTGACTGATGTGTTTGTCTCTGTGTGCGTTTCCAGGTGCGCACCCTAGCCAGTGCTGGAGGGCCTGATAACCTGGTGATGCTGGACCCTGCTAAGTACAAGGCTCGGCCGCGGTGCTCTGAGCATGTCGAGGGCTCCACACACCCCAAGTGGCTGGTGGGGGAGCAGGAGTTTGAGGCTTACATGAGGATGCTGGATAACCTGGTAGGAAGGAACTGCCCTATTGAAGTTTATTAGAAAAACATTTCGTAACAAAATGACAATAGATTATATTAGAATTTTGAGGACCACTCTGAAATGAACACATACAATCATAAGCTACAAAGTTTTTTGTGTGAAATATATGTTAATGTTCTACTGTACAATTAGTGTTGTTAACTTTCCATGCAATGCTGAAAAAATACATATTTTCATATTAGTTTTAAGATTTTCATGTAAGATTAAATGATTGATACTGTAGATTATTAACCACAGGGTTTGATATGCATTATCCTTTCAGTATTACCACTACACCATCTAACTGACCCCGTTTCTGTCTCTCTAGGGCTACAGGACGGGCTACCCCTACAGGTGCCCTGCCCTGAGAGACAAAGCAAAAAAGTTCAGCAGCGACGTAGAGATCGCTCCCTCAGCCACGGGCTACTCCTATGCCGAGGACAGTGACTCAGGCGCTCGCTCCCCTCTCAAGCACAGCTTTCAGAGGCAGCAGCGCGACAAGACCCGCTGGCTCAACTCGGGCCGGCCGGAAGAGGCCTACGAGGAAGGGCCCGACGGCGGCAGTCCCAAGTCGAAGACTAAGGTGTGGACGAGCATTACACACGATCACGTCAAACCCTTGCTGCAGTCTCTCTCGTCCGGTGTCTGCGTGCCAAGCTGTATTACCAACTGCTTGGTCTGTGCCTACCTTATTGTTCATAGTTAGACGTACCGTTCAGCTACTTGATGAACGGGCAGCGGGTTGGCACTCTAAGGTTGGGGGGGGGGGGGGAATGGATCCTGGGATCTATTAGAGCTTGTGATATGTCTACTTCAACAGATGACTCCAGACAGCTCCAGTGTTTGGTTATACGTATTAATACTCTAGTGAGTCTCTGTCCTTAGTTTTGCCGTTTAAACCCTTCTCTCTCTCTCTAGCCAGTCCAAAAGACAACACTGCTTAAGACAGATTTATACATTTTCCCAATTCTCCGTTTCCATTCCCTTGAATATTAACTTCTTTGTTCCTACTCCCCACTCTGTCTAAAGTTGTTTTCCCTACTAACCTCTCTCTTAAGCAGTTGGTCCATCCCTCGCTCTCTCTCTCCTGTTAGTCCCACCCCTCCACTCTTTTCCTCCTTTGTTCCCTAGCGCTTTAGGGTGCCAGCCCAGCTGTCCAGCGCATGCTGTGTTGCATGAGTAGCCAGATGCATTGTGGGTGCTCTCTGGGAGGAAGAGCGATGGGGGCGTGGCATGAGCCCAGAGTGGGCATGGCTCTGATGTTGCTAACCAACCACCGCTGCTGCTTTAGAGTCCTTCTCGTTCTGGTGTCTGGTGTTGTGCGTCTGGAGCTTTTCTAACTGTGTGCACCCAGGGAACTTATTGCAGTGTAAAACTGAAGCATAATGTAGGATGCGTTTACTAAAGCAAACCTCACACCGTTCTATGTTGAGGTGTGTTGCACAATTTTTTTTTACCGCGGTTAATGATATGAGAGTATGACAATATATTACTGATTACTAGCTAATCTAATAGAACCATACACTAAAGTTATAGACAGCATCCCTGTTTGTAGACGCGCTTTAAAGCTAGCATGCCACTTTTTATTTGTAGCATTGTTTGATGTTTGAACCCAGGAAGTGACCTCCTGCTCTTGTGGCTGGTCTTTCAGCCAGACAGCTAATCACATCTGGAGCTTTCACAGTTAAAGCAACAGACAGGGTGGGACCTGTCCAAGACCACTCTGCTTTCGGTATGGAATCGGAATCCCATGAGTCATAGCTTGCTTTTTTATGACTCCTCCCCCTCTATTCCCCAATCCTCAACCACTCCCCAAATGCCCCTAATGATATGACATGTCATTTTAGTTCCCCTCTTTCCAAGTTTAATTTCGGTTAAAAAAAATTATAATAATACTCCAAAACTTTCCTAAAGTGTTCCTATGCATGGATTTGTATAGTGGGTGGGGAAAAAAAAGAAGCAAATTTGACTGGTCTAACTTTTGAAACGATTATCTCCTCTGGTAAAGTAGGAGAAAGTGTTGTGTTGTGAGACTCAGTACATATTCAGTGAGTATATCATGTTTTCATGTCCATCCCATGTTCCTATCCTATCTACAAACCATTCAGATGCCCCTCTTCCTCATCTAGTTTTTTGATTTTTTTGCACCTAACTGCTTTAACAGCTCAGCTGAAACATTTCCTCAGCAGAAAAAAAAAACCTCATAGCTCATGCTACGCCAAGGCAAAATACAGAGTAACTTGCTTTTCTGAAAGTGCCTCAAACAAGAGAAGGATACTGATGTGCATGAAGGCTTAAGTCAGATTTACTTGCTGCTCATTCAATCATATCTGTGTGAGAGAAAAAAAATGTATCCTATCTTTTTCTCTGTCTCGGGCTGAGCATTACCAGTGTTCAGGTGTAAACTGGGGGCGGCAGGTAGCTTAGTGGGTAAGAGCGTTGTGCCAGTAACCGAAAGGTCGCTGGTTCTAATCCCCGAGCTGACTAGGTGAAAAATCTGTCGATGTGCCCTTAAGCAAGGCACTTAACCCTAATTGCTCATGTAAGTTTGCTCTGGATAAGAGCGTCTGCTAAATGACTAAAATGTAAATGTAAATGTAAACGCCTCTGTCAAGTACTCCAAAAACAGTCCAGTTCATTACCTTCCAAAAAGGACAGCTCCAGAGTTTTTCTTCTTCTTTGGTTTTTTTCTACTTCTGTCATATAAACAAAGTTCAGTAGTAGATCAAAATATCCTAGAAGCCAGGGCATCCCTTTGTAACTAAACGTAAACTAAAAACCTTTTAACTTTTATAAAGTGCGATTCTTGGGGGGAACCCTAAGTTGTATTTTTCTCCAATGAGAGTTTTTCTGTCAGTCGGTCAGTGGTGGACGAGTGTCTCGTCTTTCGTTGTGTTTCTCTCTTTATCCCTGTTGTCCTGTTACTATTACTGTACGTTACGTTAGCCTGGGAAATGACTTGGTGATGCCCACTCTATCACGCCTCACCCCACCTCCACTGTGTCGCTGGTCCACATAGCTTTTACTGTACTGTAAGCCAGCACCATCACCTCCTCACCTGTCCACGTCCTCACCCCACCACGCCCTCACCCCTCCCTCTTCCACGGTCTCTCGTCATCTTGTGATGCCTTCAGTTGCTCTTTGTTTTATTTTTTTTTGGTCATTTGTATCTGTTATTGAAATCTAACAGCAAGAGTATCAATGATGATGATAATGGTGCATCTTTGAGTAATGTAGGAGGGCCTAGTCATTTCCTTCAAGTCAATAAGAAAGGGTCAGATGCTTAGGCTTTAGGTCATGGGATAACTTGATACTGAAAAGCACTGACTAGAACTGTAACACCGAGCCATCCTGACAAAGGTGCATCATCATTGGTTCACTGCTTCCAGGTGTAATATATTTAGAACTCCTTTACAGAATCATTTGTACCTTCTCCTCCTCTGTTATTTCTGTTTTGAAAAGCATGACCAATTATTATTGTTCTTTTAAAGCCTGCATAGTCTATATATTTCTAGATTTTGTTCATTATTTTTTTTCTTCCCATGTTATTTTGGCTGCATCATTTTGTTTATTTTAATTGTTGCTATGGTGATTACAGTGGACGAATGAGGAAGGAATGCGACAGGCTGCAGTGGCCAATCAGTTTGTCCCGCTCAACACAAACCCCAAGGAGGTGCTGGAGATGAGGAACAAGGTATGATGTTGATACAGGCTTCGGTATTCGGGGCGGCAGGTAGCTTAGTGGGTAAGAGCGTTGTGCCAGTAACCGAAAGGTCGCTGGTTCTAATCCCCGAGCCGACTAGGTGAAAAATCTGTCGATGTGCCCTTAAGCAAGGCACTTAACCCTAATTGCTCCTGTAAGTCGCTCTGGATAAGAGCGTCTGCTAAATGACTAAAATGTAAATGTAAATGTATGCTATCATTTCAACATGGGTTTGGTCCCGACTATCTGCCCTACTCCCGAAGTGTGCATTTATCTTGCACACTGCCCGTTATGGATTTAAAAGCATTGGATTTGTGTTAGGATTGCTGGAAGGGAGTTTCCACCATTGATAAATCCATGAGAGGGAGTGTGCAAGTGCACACTTTGGGAGAAGGGTATAGAATCGGGACGTCTTTCTGTGTTTGTGTTCTTCAATGCATGCCCGTGGCTCTGTATCCAACCCCTCTACTGCCACGTCCTCTAGATCAGAGAGCAGAACCTGAAGGACATCACGACGGCAGGGCCAGAGTCCCAGGTGCTGTGTGCTGGAAGCATGGTGGATCGCTCCTTTGTCCAGGTGAGTCCCTCCAGCGCCCCGCCCCTCCTGTGCCACGCCCTGCCCCACAGCCCCTGCAAAATAGCAATATGTGTGCTGCCTACCCTGAGTCAGACCTGCATTCAAATACTATTTGAAATCATTTTAAATTCTTAAACTGGGCTGAATTGAGCTTGCCTGGTGCAATGTAACAAATAGAATAGTTGCGAAACTGCAAACCCTGCCCTCCAAGCAGACTAAAGCAAATGCTAGGAGTATTTCAATGATTTCAAATAGTATTTGAACCCAGGTCTGACCTGATTCCCCCCCCACCCCCCCACCCCACCCCGCTGATATTTAAGTTAACTTAACCTACCTTATTCTTTGACACAGAGAAGTTCAGTGTGTCAGGTAAGTAACATGGCGGTCAGAGGTAAACCTCATGCTGCGTCACAGGCCGGGTTGTGTTCATCTCCTTTGGTTGATTTGGATTTGCCGCCTCCTTTTGTTGACTAACCCCAACATGCTGTTAGCTTTCAGGTCTGTCGGATTGCTTTCATATGACTTCAGAGTTGAGTTTGCATGTTGTTGGTTTGCCTTCTGAGTTCCTGTCCATTCTCTGACCTCGGTTGGATCCCACTCATTTGCTGCTAGTCAGATTGTGTTACCTTACAAGTTAATTTCTCTCGATCTGAATGAGTTTTTGAGGAGATTGCTGAGGCCATTGTTGGAGTGTTTGTTTATGTTCTAATCTTAGGACCTTTATTGTTACCTGAATTGAAAAATAACTGCTGGTTGGCTCTGAACTTTTCTTCACTGTTAGCTGTAACTGTTTGTAGCATAATTTGAGAGTTACGATTTAAATATAATGTCTTATGCATTGCACTCGGTTTGTGTTTCAATGCTTTCACACACTTCTATGTGAAGTGTGGCGTTGTGATGCATGGTCCTGGCATATATATTATCATTATCATGCTTGAGACTGCCCCATTTACCCCACTGAAACAAACTCTGCATGCATGTGTGTACTATGTGGACGTGTGTGTGTGTGTGTGTGTACGGCAGGGTTTCTGTTAGGAAAATGTGGCGCTGGACAACGTGACCGGGAAGATTTTAATTTACCAGCCATTTGAGAAATGTACCGGCCCCATGCATTGGGTGTGTAACCCATTGGGGCGTCCATCCACAGTGCACAGAATGACAGAAATCACATTTAGAATATGGTAATTCATCTTAACAAAACATGCAACTCCTGTAATGAAGCAGCCAATAAAACATAATTTTCAAACATTTGCCAAAATCAAGAGCGACTTACAGTTAGTGAGTGCATACATTTTTTATTTTATTTTTTTCATACTGGCTCCCCGTGGGAAACGAACCCACAACCCTGGCGTTGCAAGCGCCATGCTCTACCAACTGAGCTACACGGGACCACGCGCCTGATGCCAGCGGTATATAACTGTTAGAAATGTTGAAAGAGGGTGAATCTAAAAGTACCACAACTAGGATGGGTTGCTAATATGACTAGGATTGTGCCTTTGGCTTCTGGACAACGAAAGAAAGTTTATATGAAAACCAATAGAACAGGAGAGGAATGGCCTATGAGGAAGTATTTCATGGGCAACATGAACAAAAGGCCTAGCTGATTATTGAGTTGCAGCTGTCAGTGAAAAGCATCTAAAATATGTGTGAAGATAATGCGTCTTGGGTATAATTTAAAATGTTGAGAAGGGGAGTGGTGTGTGGCGAAGATAGCCTATAGGCGCAGCTCTCTCCAAAATCCATCCACTCAGCTCTCCAGAATCCATCCACTCAGCTCTCCAGAATCCATGCACTCAGCTCTCCAGAATCCATGCACTCAGCTCTCCAGAATCCATCCACTCAGCTCTCCAGAATCCATCCACTCAGCTCTCCAGAATCCATCCACTCAGCTCTCCAGAATCAATCCACTCAGCTCTCCAAAATCCATTCACTCAGCTCTCCAGAATCAATCCACTCAGCTCTCCAAAATCCATCCACTCAGCTCTCCAGAATCCATCCACTCAGCTCTCCAGAATCCATGCACTCAGCTCTCCAAAATCCATCCACTCAGCTCTCCAGAATCCATGCACTCAGCTCTCCAAAATCCATCCACTCAGCTCTCCAGAATACATGCACTCAGCTCTCCAGAATCCATCCACTCAGCTCTCCAGAATCCATGCACTCAGCTCTCCAGAATCCATCCACTCAGCTCTCCAGAATCCATCCACTCAGCTCTCCAGAATCCATCCACTCAGCTCTCCAGAATCCATGCACTCAGCTCTCCAGAATCCATCCACTCAGCTCTCCAGAATCCATCCACTCAGCTCTCTAGAATCAATCCACTCAGCTCTCCAGAATCCATCCACTCAGCTCTCTAGAATCAATCCACTCAGCTCTCCAGAATCCATCCACTCAGCTCTCCAGAATGAATCCACTGAGCAGAATCCATCCACTCAGCTGTCTTCTGCCAATTCTTGTGCATTCATTGTTTCATGTGAATTGTTTGCCCTTTGATTGTTTATTTTGATCAATTCCCCCTTACAAATGTCGCCAGAAGTAAAATGTACTGTTAATCCCTGTCATTTTGTTAAATACATTTCTGTTAATGCATTGTATTACTAATTAGGCCTACAGTCATTTACCATTCTCAGAGTTGAAACGTTGTTTATTGGTTTATTTCATAACCATCATTTACGAGTTCTCCATTTTTGTTTTGTTTTATTGTCTTTTGTTTGGAGTGCTCCATGTGAGCAATGACCATGGGTCTGGTTTCTCTGTCCTGTTAATGCCTGAGCACGCATAGAAGTAGCCTACCTGGCCTGCTGCGCACAAATGTAGGAAAGTGCCCATTTGGGGATGTCTGATTTCTGATTCTTAGTCACCACTAATAAGCTGAGCTTCTTAGTCATTAGTTCTTCACCTCACACAGTAAGACAACGAAGGCTGGTTTTTTTGTATTTTTTTAAAGTTTTTTTTTCTTTACATCCATTATGAATGATAGCCTAATAGTGCCTCACAGTCAACCTATAAAGAAAAATCCTTCCAACAATCTCCCCCTCGGTGATCACCAAGCCTCGGTGTGAAAGAGCAAAATAATCATAATATAATGATCTCATATATCCAGTGGAAAACATTATAAAATACCTTTCCCTTGCGCAAAAACAGCTTTCTGTCCTGAACTCACTGGAGCAGGAAACTCTGAGGGCCCAGAATAGGCTAGTTGATACAATGTTGCAAGTTTGCTAGAGACGGCTTCAGGACTGATCTAGTTGATTGATTTGATACAATGTTGCACTTCACTAGTGATGGTTCAAGTCAAGACAGATAGAAAGGGAGGCTGACAGGCAGAGTAGAGAGATTAATGTGATTCAAAGAAGCAGAATTTTCATCAGTATATTTTCTACAGTTTTTATTTGTCGGCTTTGTGTATTTTTACTTGGTTGATAATGGAAGTTAGAGGCCAACGGCTGCATTGGCCATCTGAGTTCCATGCACTCATTTAGGCTATTTAGCTATCAATGGTCACAGTGTATCAATGTGTCCATATGGCAGAGGCTGGTGCTCTCACATTAATTGAATTTTAACTTTGATATTTTTATCATTTTAATTAAGATTTGTATGATTAACCACGCGACAGTGATTTCGAGAAATGAGAACATTTATCAAAATGTTCCACAAAAATGCACATATAACTGGCACACAGATTGGTAGAAATGGAACTCACACGCCACCTATGAAGTCTTTATAACAGTATGTTTTCAAAATATATACTGCAAATATATACTGCATCCAGCTCACATTGTAAAGTGGTGGGTGACGTGCTGATAGCCTGCCTACCATAGATTTTTCTTTCGGTCAATTTGGCCGGCAACAATTGTATTTATTGGCTATTTTGGGGGGGGGGGGCAAAAGTCAGCAATAACCGGCTAACGGAAACCCTGGTGTACGGACGTATGTGTGGGTGTGTGTGTGTGTGTGTGTACACCATTAATGTGTGAGTGTGTTTTGTGTGCGCGTGTGTGCGTTTGACCGTGTGAGTACTATGAACGAGTGTGTGTTCTCGGGCTGGGTTATACCCCCCTCACTCAGTTTACTATTGCAGGACGCCCCTCTGTCTGACTGTACGGACACTATTGCCGACCTCGATCTGTCAGAGGCCAATAGCCCTGCTAAGTCTTTTAGAAAGGTACTTCCTGACCATCATGACCTCTCACATGACCTCTAACCTCTCTCTGCTGCTACTCTGTGTGATTTCTGGGGCATGTGCCTCGCTGGTTTAAACACTTCAAACAACATGAATAGACCCTATTGTCCAGACTCGGACTGCTTTGAAATGCTCCATACTAGTATCAACTTATTTAGAAAATGTCAGTTTTAGCATTGATTTGAAATTGTGACAAGATTTATTTTGTGACGCACAACAGGCCTGTTTTTAGCAAGAATTTGTCTTGTGTCCCTCCCTGTCTGTACCACTAGGGGGAGCTGGTGACAGCGTCTAAGGCCATCATAGAGAAGGAGTACCAGCCACGTGTCATCATCAACCAGAAAGGCCCCAACCCCTTCAATAAGCAGTATGACCAGGAGCTGGAGGATTACCGCAAGGAGGTGGAACTCAAACAGAAAGGACCCGATGGTACGACCTGCCACCGTTGTGCTCTTGGACCTACACAGAAAAACCTACACAGTTTTGTTTTTCACCATTAAACCCTATTTCTGTAGTAGTAGTAGTAGTAGTAGTAGCAATAGTAGTAGTAGTAGCAATAGTAGTAGTAGTAGTAGTAGTAGTAGTAGTAGTAGTAGTAGTAGCAATAGTAGTAGTAGTAGTAGTAGTAGTAGTAGTAGTAGTAGTAGTAGTAGTAGTAGTAGTAGTAGCAATAGTAGTAGTAGTAGTAGTAGTAGCAATAGTAGTAGTAGTAGCAATAGTAGCAATAGTAGTAGTAGTAGCAATAGTAATAATAATAAGACAAAACAGCAGGAAGATACAGAATGACAAATATGTGGGGTCTGAGGTAGTTCTCCACAAAGCTCCCAGAGTCCACAACCAGTCACCAAGCAGAGCGACATGGAGACAAAATGTTGTGTTGCATCATTCATCCAGTACAGGGTGAAGAGTCCTTCCAGCTCCCTTCAGCTGGGCCTGGGGAGGGCCTGTCCCCCTCTACCTCACCACAGAAGCCCCCACTGCCGCTAAAGCCCCTCTGTATCCCAGAGCAGGGAGCTGGAGTCGGACTGGTCATTCCTGGGGTCTCTGAGCCTACCCCCACAGCCTCCTCCAAGGCTGCCCCTCCCTCCTCCTCCACTCTCCCCAGCCGAGACACCCTGACTGGGTCGGGGGGCAGTCAGGGGAGCCCTGGGATGTCTGCGGGATCGGGGCCCGGGGGCTACGGGGAAGAGTCCCCCTCAGAGTCTCCTCACAAGGAGTTTCACTGTGCCGTGCTGAAGGCTCTCAGCACCACCAACACAGAGCTGCCTGCCCTCACTGAGGCTCCAGGTACTGACTGACTGACTGCAGACTGACTCTGGCCTGTCCTCACGGAGGCTCCAGGTACTGACTGACTGACTGCAGACTGACTCTGGCCTGTCCTCGCGGAGGCTCCAGGTACTGACTGACTGACTGCAGACTGACTCTGGCCTGTCCTCCTGCTCTCAGTCCTGCACTCTGACCTTTAACTGGAGTCCCTGTCCCACCTCTCTCTCTCTCTCTGGGGTTAATCCTGCTCCCGTCCTGCACTCTGACCTTTGACTGGAGTCCCTGTCCCTCCTCTCTCTCTCTGGGGTTAATCCTGCTCCCGTCCTGCCCACTACTAGGCCCCCAATCCCCAATTCCTCAACCCCTGTCTGTCCTTTGCCTATGCCCCTTCCTCCTGGTTAAAGTTCCTCCAGGTTTTCCAGACATCCCGTTTGGAGGATTCCCAGAATCAAAAGGGAATCAGCAGGGAGGGAATCCTCCAACTGGGAATCATTCAACCAGTATTTCTGGAAAACCTGGGAATTTTGGGAAAGTTTCCGGAATTTTGCAACCCTCCCCCTACCGTCAGATTTGTCTGATCTCTGTTTAACCAATGGAATCCTAATGCTGATTGTGGCTCTCCAAGGAAGCCTTCCCATATGAACATGAATGACCCCTCTCGTCATCGATCAGTCATCATCCCCCTCCTCCTAACACGGACCTGTTGTCCTTTTGGGTTGGTTTGTAAATGTTTACTACTAATAATCTGGTGTCTCCAATGGAAGCGGTTCCTTCTCTGGGGTGAAGGTGGAATTACATGGGTCTTGTTGCCACTGTGGGCTCTGCAGTGTGTGACTGTGTGCAATATCCTCTAATAATAATCAATAACTGTGTTTTACTCTCCTGTTTTCTGACTGTGCTATTCTTATTTATTGTATGTGGTGGTTTAAGGGTAGTATGTATTACATTTGATTTCTCTGGGTTGATGATGTGTGTTTTTTTTGTAACTGACAAATATTGAAAATCAATGAATTCATTGCTCTAATCTGACCTGTTGACAACCTATTTTCATTTGTGAAATGGACTTTAAATAAAGTTTGATTTAATTTCCTCCCCCAGACTCCTCAGACGCGTTACCAGAGCCTGAGGAAGAGTTAAAGGGTCAAAGTCCGACCCGCACACCACCCAGCACCCCTGTCAGAGCAGAGGAAGGTTAGTTGGCCTAGTCCGCCTGGCAACAAGCAACACAACACTCCAGCATGGCTTCCTCTGTGCTACTATTGGGTGACAACGTTCAGGGTCAAGGGTCAACAACAAGGAATGCTGGGACTGGGCTTCCTTTCTATGTTTTTCTTTGATGTCTTTAACATAATAACTGTAGGTGCTGTTGAATGTGACATTTAATGTGTAATAACAGGCCAAGAGGTTTGAGGCGAATTGAGGTCAATGGGGCTTAATTGGGTTATATGGGAAACAAACCAACTGTAAGATCAGGTAATGGAAAGTTCAGTGTAATTTAGATGGAGGATTATTACATTTTCGTCCAAGGAATATCCTCTTAGATTATGATTCCTCAAGATCAGTAGATTTCTACAAATGGGGACTATACCAAAGATAGCCATAATTTTTAGACAGCTGGGTGATTTTCTTTCTTACATGAGATTTAAGATTTAAGTAGATTATGATAATTTAAGAAAGTACTTTGTTTCATATTATATTTATCCCTCTTGGTCTTTATTACGGTTGGATTACACCTTTTAAAGGCGGCAGGAGAATGTCCAATGTAGTGACACTACTGGTTCTAAAACCATACGGCAGGAGAATGTCTAATATAGTGACACTACTGGTTCTAAAACCATACGGCAGGAGAATGTCTAATATAGTGACACTTCTGGTTCTAAAACCATAAAGTACAGTATTTCTCAGAGACACTTGCCATGGCTTATACAAGAATGAATGCATCAAGATCTATGGAGCCCTGTGAGGGACATAGTTATCTCCTGACATTCAGAAGTCAGGCTGTGCTTCTCCCAGTATAAACCATGACAAACTGTGTTCTGTCTTCTAGGCCAATCACTGGTGTAATCTAATCAAAGATGGTCTTGCAAGACTGTAACACTTGTTTTACGTTAAGTTAAATCTTCCCCGTTCACTTCTCCATTCTCCATCTTTTGGAGTCTTGTAAGAATGGCTTGTCGCCATTCTTTTTTTAAATTTAATTTCTCCTGGTGTTTCTCCTATTTTCATTTGGATTTTAATTTTATAATTTTAACACTGTGGCTGTGATTGACTTGCATCTATAGACGTTTGTTTCTACCTGTGCTTCTTCTTCTTTGTGGCTGCGTTACTATCAGGAGATGGGAATGCTAAAGAGTACCTGTTGCCATAGTAAGTACGTACTGTTCCAACCACCTCCACGGCTTGTGTTCAAACCATTAACCCCTCCGTTCCTTGCATGTCTTCACTCTTCCTCCTCTCTCTCGTTCTCCTTCTCTGTGGCCCAAACCCATCCGCTAGGGTTGAGTATCTATTCCTCCTCACTATGGTCTTAGACTTCCTGTTCTTTCTTTCTTATTTCCTTTTGTTGTCAGGTGCCGATTCAGAGGTCCTCCCTGTCTAAAAAGATTTCTCAAATTATGGAATTGATGTACAAAATACAAAATGGCGGCCTCTGTTCTCAGGCTTGTCTTCATGGTGCAAAATCAAACCCGAAAACAGTATGTAGAGATAATGGATTTGTCACCGATTATGATTCATATGGTGACTCATGGGATGGATGTGTTTCTCTCCTGTCTGAACTGAACACCACTCAGGAAGGTTAGACACCAATCCTCTATGGCCGTATTTCTATACAGTTTATGGTCCTTGTCAGCGACAGTGGAGAGATCTGAGAGAGACCCAGCAACAAATCTCGTTTTAGGGTTCTATTCCTTCCCGGAGTTGACCTATCGTGAACTTAACCTTTTGAGTATTACATGCAAACATCTTATAATAAATCTATATTAAATCCTATGTTCCTGCATTAGAATTGCCATGAATACATGAAACAGGTAATGTATGTAGGTTTTTAAAATGTATTGAATGTTATATTTCTTTTCCAGATGAGCCCAATCTCAGGTATACAGCGTTCATGTATTTGGCTGTAGTAGAATAAGTGCTTTTGTCGCTTTGCTAAGTGTGAAACTTGCTGTTGGCTTAGTGGTAAGGTGATAAACAGCTGTTTTTCTAAATGCTTTGTGTTATGCTTGATCTTCGTCTATATTCTGAGGAGCTTCAACACTTCTGTGGATAATTAGCCTAATGATGACATCAATATTTGCAAGTAATACAAGTTGGAAATAGAGTACATTGTCTGTGGCTTGTTGTATGCACGGTCAGAAAAGGAGACCCAACGGCTGACACTGCACAATGGTTCTACACCAGCATGAAGTTCATGCACTGTACCGATGAATATTAGCAAGGATCACACTAGTCTACAGCACAAGATCCCTCTGCACTGAGTATGCATGTGTATCTGAATAAATCAATGATTTGAATACTTAGAGCACATGAATGTGGACTTAATGGACCCTTTTCACATTACTGAGCCGAGCTGTACTGTGCTGGCCCGGATACACGTCCATGATAGTTGCCGGAACCGTGCTGCAGTTATAGGACAGTTTTATTATTTTGGAGCGTTAAATCATTGTGTTGGGCTTGGCTTTGTGGAATGACCTAGTGTTGTACTTGTCTGAGTCGTCAATGTAAAGCTAGTCGGTGGAGATGGCTAGTGTTGTTCTATATATATATATATATATATATACAGTGGGGGAAAAAAGTATTTAGTCAGCCACCAATTGTGCAAGTTCTCCCACTTAAAAAGATGAGAGAGGCCTGTAATTTTCATCATAGGTACACGTCAACTATGACAGACAAAATCAGGGGAAAAAATCCAGAAAATCACATTGTAGGATTTTTAATGAATTTATTTGCAAATTATGGTGGAAAATAAGTATTTGGTCAATAACAAAAGTTTCTCAATACTTTGTTATATACCCTTTGTTGGCAATGACACAGGTCAAATGTTTTCTGTAAGTCTTCACAAGGTTTTCACACACTGTTGCTGGTATTTTGGTCCATTCCTCCATGCAGATCTCCTCTAGAGCAGTGATGTTTTGGGGCTGTCGCTGGGCAACACGGACTTTCAACTCCCTCCAAAGATTTTCTATGGGGTTGAGATCTGGAGACTGGCTAGGCCACTCCAGGACCTTGAGATGCTTCTTACGGAGCCACTCCTTAGTTGCCCTGGCTGTGTGTTTCGGGTCGTTGTCATGCTGGACCCAGCCACGACCCATCTTCAATGCTCTTACTGAGGGAAGGAGGTTGTTGGCCAAGATCTCGCGATACATGGCCCCATCCATCCTCCCCTCAATACGGTGCAGTCGTCCTATCCCCTTTGCAGAAAAGCATCCCCAAAGAATGATGTTTCCACCTCCATGCTTCACGGTTGGGATGGTGTTCTTGGGGTTGTACTCATCCTTCTTCTTCCTCCAAACACGGCGAGTGGAGTTTAGACCAGAAAGCTCTATTTTTGTCTCATCAGACCACATGACCTTCTCCCATTCCTCCTCTGGATCATCCAGATGGTCATTGGCAAACTTCAGACTGGCCTGGACATGCGCTGGCTTGAGCAGGGGGACCTTGCGTGCGCTGCAGGATTTTAATCCATGACGGCGTAGTGTGTTACTAATGGTTTTCTTTGAGACTGTGGTCCCAGCTCTCTTCAGGTCATTGACCAGGTTCTGCCGTGTAGTTCTGGGCTGATCCCTCACCTTCCTCATGATCATTGATGCCCCACGAGGTGAGATCTTGCATGGAGCCCCAGACCGAGGGTGATTGACCGTCATCTTGAACTTCTTCCATTTTCTAATAATTGCGCCAACAGTTGTTGCCTTCTCACCAAGCTGCTTGCCTATTGTCCTGTAGCCCATCCCAGCCTTGTGCAGGTCTACAATTTTATCCCTGATGTCCTTACACAGCTCTCTGGTCTTGGCCATTGTGGAGAGGTTGGAGTCTGTTTGATTGAGTGTGTGGACAGGTGTCTTTTATACAGGTAACGAGTTCAAACAGGTGCAGTTAATACAGGTAATGAGTGGAGAACAGGAGGGCTTCTTAAAGAAAAACTAACAGGTCTATGAGAGCCGGAATTCTTACTGGTTAGTAGGTGATCAAATACTTATGTCATGCAATAAAATGCAAATTAATTACTTAAAAATCATACAATGTGATTTTCTGGATTTTTGTTTTAGATTCCGTCTCTCACAGTTGAAGTGTACCTATGATAAAAATTACAGATCTCTACATGCTTTGTAAGTAGGAAAACCTGCAAAATCGGCAGTGTATCAAATACTTGTTCTCCCCACTGAATAGGCATGCCTCGGCTGAGGAGCATGTTGTCTGATTGGTGCCCAAAGATTCTGATCTGCAGAAGTATTGTAGCGTGTCAGTTTTCATGGATGATATAGTGATACAGGTCTTTAGTGATAATGTGTTCTCCACAAGCTGGACTATGGAACAAAGACTAAATGATTGCAGAAGAAAATTAGAGGTATCACTCCTCCCAAGTGAGAGTAGAGTGATATTTTAAAAGCCGAATCTCTTATTAGCTTTCAATGGTAGTTTTGTCTGTATTGCAGCCGCTTTGCAGGTCCTGCAAATGAACCATTTCCTCCTAACTACATCCCCCACCACCCACTCACCCACAGAGTCTCAGCTGGAGCACACCTATAAGGATGAGAGTGACCAGGCTACACTGAGACAGACCCTCCCTGACCTGACCCCAGACGACGAACCCTCCGACGCCCCAGTCCCCTCCCTCCCTGCCGAAGATCCTGCCACTCCCGCTGCCACCGAACAGCCCACCGCCGAGGGGGAGGAGCCTGCTGATGCTGCCGTCGACCAAGACGGTGAACAGGACGGCGACGAATCCCCCAGCAAATCGCCTTCCAAGAAGAAGAAGAAGTTCCGCACTCCTTCCTTCCTCAAGAAAAACAAAAAGAAGACTGAAGAAAAGGCTGAAAAAGCAAAGGAACCCTAGATGACTCCTCCCCTCTCACGCTTCCCCTTGAGCGAGCCACAACCCCACAACCTTTGACCCCACACGCTTATTATTATTATTTGTTTGTCTGGCTTTATAACTCTGTGTTCACCTCCTAGTGTGTGCCAATTTTATATTTAAAAATAATGTGCTTATTAAGTTTTAATAACGGTTGCTCTGTGGTGAATGACTGTGTGCATTCAGTCTGGTTCAGTGCAGTGTGTGGCTTCTTACGCTTGTTTATTTAGGCCTACTACTTTTAAGTGAGCAGTAGATTTTTATTTCCCTTTTTTATTTGTTTAAAAAATGTGTTTTACTAAAACCTGATTTAACCACTAGAATGTATTGGGATTGTATTGAATTATATCAAAGTGTCTTTAAAAAAAAAAAAAAAACAAGGAGTGCAAAAACAAAGAAAAGCTTGTACTCTGTCATTTAACTAAACTGGTGGAAACTGATTCAAGATTTAAAAACGACCAACTGCACGGTGCTAGTTACTGATGTCTAACATTAGCGTTAAATCTGTTAACTCAAACAACATAGGGTACAAGAGCGGGTTTTCCTCTCTGCAGTATAACAGCTGGGTATATAAAAGGGCCTGATGGACAAAGTAAAACACTACCATTTATACATATTTATTGTGTGAGTCATCATGCATGTGTGCCCTGTGGCCCGTAAGAACTCAAATCATGTCGAGAATAGCAGAAGTTAACTCTTAATCAGGGTTTGACATTCTATATCAGTCACCTCTATCAACCAGGGTTGGTGGTACCTGGTGAGACTGCTGGTATTGCACCGGTGTACACAGGCTGTATGGCCATGTTGCAGGAATGTGTAGGGCAGGGTTCTTCAATTCCGGTCCTGGAGGGCCGAAACACTTCTGTTTTTTTATTTCTACCTGGTAGTTCATTGCACTCACCTGGTGTCCCAGGTCTGAATTAGCCCCTGATTAGAAGGAGAGGATGAAAAACAGAGGTGTTTCGGCCCTCCAGGACCGGAATTGAAGAACCCTGGTGTAGGGACTAGGGCAGAAGTGTTGTTATATAATCCGGTATACTTGGCTGGCTTTAGCTCTTCCTTCTTTCAGTCACAGGAAAGACAAATGGAACATAAGAGGACAAAAGATGGCTACAGTTACAAGACAGAACACAAATAGATTTTGTATGGTTAAGGATATAGCTATAGTCGACTTCTTTTGTTATTCTCAACAACAAAAAACAATTGTCATTTTCACTTGCTGTGAGAGCACTGTGAACTGAAGCACCTCAACTTCAATATAACTCTGCCTGGAACTCTCCTCTTGTTTTACCATTGCTTTTAGAGGAAACCGTAGGCTTGCCTGGATCCAAACTGAGGGTGAAATGAAACAATTCCATCTGGATTCAGACTAATAGTGGGAATATGGAATGTAGGAATACCGTTGCTTTAAGGCACATCTCACCATTTTAACGCTGCATGCATAACCAGTGACCACAGCTCAATGGACTATCCTGTGAAACCCCTTTGAAATGAAAAGACTGTCTCAAGAAAACATCTCGCTTTCAAGTTGCACTCAAGACACTGGAGATATAGTACAGTAATCTATCTAGTTGGTGAGATCTTACAGCCTGGTCCCAGATATGTTTGTGCTGCCATGCCAATGACGATAGGAATTGGCAAGATGACACAAACCGATCTGGGACCAGGCTAGCGACTACACCTTGTCTTTTAAAATGGTTGGCAGGCAGACGGGCATTAATACCGGATAATGTCATTAATGAATCCCACTTGTCTGTGAAGCTTGGCTTAGACCACTATAAAAACCTAGCCTGGTCTTAGATCGGTTTGTGCAGTCTTGAAACAATGTCTTGAGAATGACTAGGAGTTGGCAAGACGGCACTAACTGCTCTAGGTCCAGGCTATTATAAACCTGCTATATTACATGATGTAAGCTGAGAACATTAGCCTGTTCCCTGAACCTGAAGGACTGCATGGCATGAAACTAAGGCTTTGAGCTTGTATTGTATGTCTCTCTACATTATGACTGTAACTCACTTTTACTTTGCAATTATTGTGCTAATAAAAATACTAAGTCCTTAGTAACTGTTTTATTTGTAGTCACTTAGAATTGTTTTAAACTCGCAGCAATGTATTCTTTGAACTATTTCCCATACAAACATGTCATTATACCATCTATAGATTCACTACCATCTCTTTTCATGGTACTGTTTGTTTTTTAACCATGAATAAAAATCATTCAAAACCAATTTGTTTTTGTGTGATTCAATTCATTATTAGATTACTAATGTCTTCAAGATTCAAGATTATTTTCGTTTTATATTGTATAAGCTACTAGCACAACTAATTATTTATAGCACCAAAGAGGCTCTCTGTTAGTTGGCCAAATAAGTGGACTGTTAGGGGTTTCCAGAAGGCGGCGGCCCTGTATAATATTCCCTGCAAGTCAACTCACGAGGAGTCGCCTCTTTACGACCTCGTACATGCTGGATTTCTGGAGTGAAACAACGTAGCTATACAATGACAAATAAAACATTCTCTAAAATATATTCAAGGGGTTTATGTACCTCTTCGATTCAACTAGATCGTGTCCAGCACACCTGAAGGTATGTCATAATTGACATGATGTTTGACTTGACAACGTAACCAATGTTTATGCAAACTTTAGCTAGCATTCGTGGCTAGTTGGCTAGTTATCACATTAGTTAGCGTTACAGTATTTCAATACTTTACATGGTTATTATATTAGCTTGCCTTGACTCTTGGTCTAGATGGGAAACCGCCGAAAAATAAGAACCTTGCAGATAAGGTTCGCAAGACGGAAACTTCCACGGAGGTCAAAAACAATCCGTTCGAGGTGAAAATCAACCGGGAAAAAGTTTGACATTAACCAGGTAAAGCGGTAATACTGAAGACACAGCGTAATGGTTGGACTGAGTGTAGTGGGTCATGAAGGGTTACACATGTTGGCGTGGATGGATCTATGCTAGCTCTAGATCTGTTTGTGTTGTCTTAACAACTCCAATGGTCATTGATTGTCCATAAGAGTTGACAAAACAGATCTGGGACCAGCCTAGATGGATGCTAAATAACAGCAAGGGGAAAGAGACACTGCTGAAGGAATACAAGGACAAGGCCAATAAGTTCATAGACCGACGCTTTGGTGAATATGACACCAACATGGACCCAGAGGAGAAAATCCTGCAGAGGTTTTCAATGGAGCGACAGGTAAGATCCTATACAGACTGACACACGTCTCTGTTCTCTCCTCTGCGCATTTTACTCCCATGTCCTGTCCTATATGGAATAAACCGCAAAACTAGCTCCAGCAGAGCTGCACTTAGGCTAGCTGCTTTTAGCAACGCTGGTATATTTAACCGCACAGTAAGTTGGAAATTTCATTTCATTTAACTTCTGGCTTCCCGCTGACCTTTTGTGCAACCCAATACAACAGGGAGCAACGCTAGTTTATGTAGATACAACCGCATTGCTAAAAGCAGCTACACTTTGGCTGACCCTGTGCTCCTCTCAAAAGTGTGTGTTGTGGAGGGGTTGAGAGGAGAAAATACACATTTTCAATGTAAGATTTGGACAAATACATTTGTATTGTATAAAGATGTACCATAAGTCCATAACTTAACATTGTCCTGTGTTGATGTTGTCCTCCTTCAGCGTACCCAGGACAAGAAGGACATGTACAACCTAAATGAGGAGGAGGAGTTGACCCCACTATGGCCGGTCTCTGTCTGAGATGGAGAAGCTCAAGGACATGGTAGACAGTTGGTGATGAAGCCGATGAGAAAGGAATGCTCTCAGGTGAGACACACAATGACCCTAGACTTCACACAATTGGTGGGGAGCTGTAGACCAATGTGAGAGAGAGCAAGAAGGTGGTGGAGGAGAGAAGGGGTGGAGGAGTGAGAGGTATAGTGGAGGAGAGAGCGAGAGAAGGGGGTGGATGGGGAGAGAGGGAGGTATAGAGAAGGGCGTGGAGGAGAAGGGGGTAGAGGAGAGAAGGAGAACCAAATGGGAAGTCATCTATAAGTCAGTAAAGATGTACATAGTATTTGTGTCTGTAAAAATGAGGCAGCACTATCTGTTGAAGTAGGGACCATAACAATGCCATTATTTTCTCATCTACCTGTTCTCAAGCCGAGCTGACAGCGTCCCACTACGGAGGAGGAGCAGGAAGACCCCAGGAGAGAAGGATGATCAGGGGGACCACAAAGACAAGTCCAGGAGAGAAGGACGATCAGGGGGACCACAGCCAAGTCCAGGAGAGAAGGACGATCAGGGGGACCAACAGCCAAGTCCAGGAGAGAAGGGACGATCAGGGGGACACAGCCAAGTCCAGGAGAGAAGGACGATCAGGGGGACCACACAGCCAAGTCCAGGGAGGACGATAGGGGACCACAGCCAAGTCCAGGGGGGACCAGGGACCACAGCCAAGTCCAGGAGAGAAGGACGTCAGGGGGACCACAGGCCCAAGTCCAGGAGATGAAGACGATTCAGGGGGGACCACAGCCAAGTCCAGGAGAGAGACGGCCGATCAGGGGGACCACAGCCAAGTCCAGGAGAGAAGGACGACCAGGGGGACCACAGCCAAGTCCAGGAGAGAAGGACGATCAGGGGGACCACAGCCAAGTCCAGGAGAGAAGGACGATCAGGGGGACCACAGCCAAGTCCAGGAGAGAAGGACGATCAGGGGGACCACAGCCAAGTCCAGGAGAGAAGGACGATCAGGGGGACCACAGCCAAGTCCAGGAGAGAAGGACGATCAGGGGGACCACAGCCAAGTCCAGGAGAGAAGGACGATCAGGGGGAACACAGCCAAGTCCAGGAGAGAACGCGATCAGGGGGAACACAGCCAAGTCCAGGAGGAGAAGGACGATCAGGGGGACCACAGCCAAGTCCAGGAGAGAAGGACGATCAGGGGGACCACAGCCAAGTCCAGGAGAGAAGGACGATCAGGGGGACCACAGCCAAGTCCAGGAGAGAAGGACGATCAGGGGGACCACAGCCAAGTCCAGGAGAGAAGGACGATCAGGGGGACCACAGCCAAGTCCAGACAGGAACTCATGGAGGAACTCATCCTCAAGTCCAAACAGGAAAAGGTGAGCTTCCCTCAACTATTGGAGGATACACTTTATTGTCATTATAGCCCCACAGTGGAGGTGTCATAATACCCATAAAACCTAGCGGTCAAACAGGGAAATGGTTCCAATCGTTTTTCCACCATTCATTTTTCCCATAGGGGATTTTAGAAACACTTAAAATAAGGGCTGTGTTTTGTGTAGACTTACCCTGGCGTGACTATTGTGTCAATGTAATACTTGCACAAGACAGTTAATAGAATTGTCCATTTAAAGAAATGTAGCCAATTTATTCATTACTACAGTTAGCCAACATTAGATACAGTGAGGGAAAAAAGTATTTGATCCCCTGCTGATTTTGTACGTTTGCCCACTGACAAAGAAATGATCAGTCTATGATTTTAATGGTAGGTTTATTTGAACAGTGAGAGACAGAATAACAACAAAAAAATCCAGAAAAACGCATGTCAAAAATGTTATAAATTGATTTGCATTTTAATGAGGGAAATAAGTATTTGACCCCTCTGCAAAACATGACTTAGTACTTGGTGGCAAAACCCTTGTTGGCAATCAGAGGTCATATGTTTCTTGTAGTTGGCCACCAGGTTTGCACACATCTCACGAGGGATTTTGTCCCACTCCTCTTTGCAGATCTTCTCCAAGTCATTAAGGTTGAGGCTGACGTTTGGCAACTCGAACCTTCAGCTCCCTCCACAGATTTTCTATGGGATTAAGGTCTGGAGACTGGCTAGGCCACTCCAGGACCTTAATGTGCTTCTTCTTGAGCCACTCCTTTGTTGCCTTGGCCGTGTGTTTTGGATCATTGTCATGCTGGAATACCCATCCACGACCCATTTTCAATGCCCTGGCTGAGGGAAGGAGGTTCTCACCCAAGATTTGACGGTACATGGCCCCATCCATCGTCCCTTTGATGCGGTGAAGTTGTCCTGTCCCCTTAGCAGAAAAACACCCCCAAAGCATAATGTTTCCACCTCCATGTTTGACGGTGGGGATGGTGTTCTTGGGGTCATAGGCAGCATTCCCCCTCCTCCAAACACGGCGAGTTGAGTTGATGCCAAAGAGCTCCATTTTGGTCTCATCTGACCACAACACTTTCACCCAGTTCTCCTCTGAATCATTCAGATGTTCATTGGCAAACTTCAGACGGGCATGTATATGTGCTTTCTTGAGCAGGGGGACCTTGCGGGCGCTGCAGGATTTCAGTCCTTCACAGCGTAGTGTGTTACCAATTGTTTTCTTGGTGACTATGGTCCCAGCTGCCTTGAGATCATTGACAAGATCCTCCCGTGTAGTTCTGGGCTGATTCCTCACCGTTCTCATGATCATTGCAACTCCACAAGGTGAGATCTTGCATGGAGCCCCAGGCCGAGGGAGATTGACAGTTATTTAGTTTTTCTTCCATTTGCGAATAATCGCACACCAACTGTTGTCACCTTCTCACCAAGCTGCTAGGCGATGGTCTTGTAGCCCATTCCAGCCTTGTGTAGATCTACAATCTTGTCCCTGACATCCTTGGAGAGCTCTTTGGTCTTGGCCATGGTGGAGAGTTTGGAATCTGATTGATTGATTGCCTTTAAGAGTGTGCTCCTAATCTCAGCGCGTTACCTGTATAAAAGACACCTGGGAGCCAGAAATCTTTCTGATTGAGAGGGGGTCAAATACTTATTTCCCTCATTAAAATGCAAATCAATTTATAACATTTTTGTCATGCGTTTTTCTGGATTTTTTTGTTGTTATTCTGTCTCTCACTGTTCAAATAAACCTACCATTAAAATTATAGACTGATCATTTCTTTGTCAGTGGGCAAACGTACAAAATCAGCAGGGGATCAAATACTTTTTTCCCTCACTGTAGTTAATCCAGAGATTCTTACCTTTGCCTCGATTTGGCAGTCTCATCCAGATCATCATGGCATTTGTAGTTCTTTATGATAGCCACATTAGCAGCTAATTAGCATTTCATTTGTTGGGGGTAAATGCGGGCGACTATGTTGATAAAAGTCACCTTGTCGTGCCTCCCGAGTGGCGCAGCGGTCTAAGGCACTGCATCGCAGTGCTAGAGGCGTCACTACAGACCCGGGTTCGATCCCGGGCTGTATCACAACCGGCCGTGATCGGGAGTCCCATAGGGCGGCGCACAATTGGCCCAGCGTTGTCCGGGATTGGGGGAGGGTTTGGTCAGGGGGGCTTTACTTGGCTCCTCGCGCTATCGCTCTAGCGACTCCTTATGGCGGGCCGGGCGCCTGCAGGCTGATCTCGGTCGTCAGTTGAACGGTGTTTCCTCCGACACATTGGTGCGGCTGGCTTCCGGGTTAAGCGGGTGGGTGTTAAGAAGCGTGGTTTGGTGGGTCATGTTTTCGGATGGCGCATGACTTGACCTTCGCCTCCCGAGCCCATTGGGGAGTTGTAGCGATGAGACAAGATCGAAAAAAGGGGTAACATTTTGTCCTAGAGAGATTTACATGATTATCTAAACGTCACTCTAGGGTAAGTCTACACGAAACACAGCCCTTATTTGAAGTGTTTCTAAAGTCCCCTATGGGAAAAATGAATGGTGGAAAAACTATTGGAACCATTTCCCTGTTTAGGCCGCTAGGTTTTATGGGTATTATGACTCATACTGTGGTACTCTATTTCTTAGACACTTTTAGAAATGGTATAGAGCAGCTATGGGCAACTTTGATGGGGGAGGGGCCACAAAAAAACGAATCATGAGGGAGGGGGGGGGGGCCCAACAAAAATGTCGCTTAGGGCCCCCAAAAGACTAGGGCCGGCTCTGACTGCATGTGTGGGTACGGATGTGGGTCCACAGACCTGTGAGCCACTGTAGTGGCCACTGTGGACCCACATCCGTACCCACACATGCAGTCAGAGCCGGCCCTAGTCTTTTGGGGGCCCTAAGCGACATTTTTGTTGGGTCCCCCCCCCCCCACACACCTTGTGAGCAAAACATTTTAGCGGCCCACCTCTTGACAGCGGAGAGAAAATATTGAAGTTTAGAGTTAATTTCCAGCAATTCTACACATTTTGCCATGGGGGCGTAGAGAAAATGTTACAGTTTTAAAATGTTTGCTGCAATTTTACACATTGTGCCATAGGATGGAGAGAAATGTTTGCAGTTTTTAATATAAAATCTGAATGCCCCCCGGCTGGTAATTGATTACTACAAGATAGCTGGATAGACTAACTTTCCAATCGCATTTCTTTTTTTGCTGACTTTGCTAATTGAGTGACTGTCAGTGACTGAAATAACAAGAGAGAAACTGCTGATGCCCAATCAAATTTAGAAATTGCACCTTGTGTATTCTATTATTCTAACTCTAAGTTGAGACACTGACTGAGTTCCAAAAAATATATTGATCCGGAATTGATCCGCGAGCCTACAAACGGGGGGGTGCCAGTTGCCCTGGTAAAGGGAACAATGTAGAGTGAATGGTTCAGAAAGGTCCACTGTGTGCTGAAACGGTGGTTCGCCTAATTAGCCTAAATGATAAGGAGTAACTGTGGAACCTCGTATTTCCCCCCCCACTGTACAGTATAAGCCACCAGTTCTGGGGTATTTCACTGTAACTTTCCTAGCAGAGCTATACAGGTGCCTGGGGTGAGACCAGACTAACAGGTAGTTTGATGTCCTCAGAGGGCGAGGCAGAACCAGGTGCTGACTGAGAAGCTGGGCCAGGACTGGAAGAGCATCCAGCGACCGCTGTCCCACAAGAATGCCCCCAAGGCTGACAGACCAGAGGAGGACAAAACCAAGGGGAGAGAACCTGATCAGGCCTGTTGTGGATCTGTTCCATCTTCACCCTGCTGAGCTGTACTGGTCTGGTTAGAAATCCATTAGAGCACAGTGTATTTGGGCCCGTCTGTCAGTTTGAATGAGACTAACCTGTAGAAACACATTTTAGATAAAAACGATTCTACCTCTACTAAGTTTTCTGTTCTCATTTTGTTTCTCCCCCCTGTATGTTCCAGCTGGATGAGTATGACATGGATGGTGCGTGAGCTGGGCTTTGAGATGAAGGCTCAGCCCTCAGAGAAGGTGAAGACCCCAGAGGAGGTGGCCAGGGAGGAGAGGGAGCGCCTGCAGAAACTAGAGGTATGGATGTCTCTACCTTTCCTTCATGGCCGTTGATGGGTGAAAGTACTGGATATAATTATGTCCTGCCAGATCATAGAGGAAGAAGAAGCCAGTAAGGATGTTTCAGTCCCTCTCTGTGTGCCGACGTCTACTGACACTGTTTCCTGTCTGTGGTTTGACCCTTGACCCAGGCTGAGGAGGATGATGGGAGATGTCGTAGAAGACAGCACCAAGACCCAGACTCACCTGTCAGCTGACGACCTCAACGACGGCTTCATCCTGGACGGAGATGACAGACTCTGGCCTATCAGGTAAGAGACCAGACAGACTCTGGCCAATCAGGTAAGAGACCAGACAGACTCTGGCCAATCAGGTAAGAGACCAGACAGACTCTGGCCAATCAGGTAAGAGACCAGACAGACTCTGGCCAATCAGGTAAGAGACCATACAGACTCTGGCCTATCAGGTAAGAGAGGTGCCTATGTCTGAGTTTATGCTTGATATTTCTAGTGTATGTCTTGTATATGCACGAGGTCATAAACGACATTTCCCCAAGGTGACAATATCAAGTTTAATTGTCACATGCACAAGTACAGTGAAATGCCTTTCTTGCCAGCTTTAAACCCAACAACGCAGTAATCAATATCAATGAAGTACTAAAAACAACAAGGTGGAAGGAAAACACATGATAACTAGAAATAAGAAGAACAGGAGAAAGTAAGTCAGTCAGCTCTTAGCCATGGTATGTTGGCCATATTTTTACATTTACACTTTAGTCATTTAGCAGACGCTCTTATCCAGAGCGACTTACAGTTAGTGAATATATATATATATTTTATACTGGCCCCCCGTGGGAAACGAACCCACAACCCTGGCGTTACAAACGCCATGCTCTATCAACTGAGCTACATCCCTGCCGGCCATTTCCTCCCCTACCCTGGGCCAATTGTGCGCCGCCCATGAGTCTCCCGGTCGCGGCCGGCTGCGACAGAGCCTGGATTCGAACCAGGATCTCTAGTGGCACAGTTAGCACTGCGATGCAGTGCCTTAGACCACTGCGCCACTCAGGAGACATATATCACAACCCCCCAAGGTGCCTTATTGCTATTATAAACTGCTTACCAACGTAATTAGAGCAGTAAAAATAAATGTTTTGTCATATCCGTGGTATATGGTCTGGTATACCATGGATCTCAGCCAATCAACATTCAGAGCTCGAACCACCCAGTTTATAATATGAGTTGACCGTCGTGTCTCTGGGTTTTGATGTCATCATCCCTCCAATAGGAGTAACCGTGCCTTCTGTTTCTCTTTTATAGGATGGGAAGTGGAACATCAACAAGGAGGTGGCAGAGATGGACGGGGGGTGACAATGAAGAGGGAGGTGAAGGAGAGCGTGGTGAGGAGGAGGATAGCCACTCAGACCTGGACTCTGAGCAGGAAAGCGAGGGAGGAGAGCAGGGGGAAGAAGAGAAGGATGAAGAGCCTGCAACTAAACCTCAGCTGAGGGGGAGGAGAGGAAGGCCCAGGCGGAGGCAGCTAAAGCAGAGCTCCCAGACACTTTGAGGTAAGACCTTGTTTTATATCATCCATCTTGGATAGTTAAAGGTCTAATTCCTTTCTACATCTAGACCTCTAGAATGATTTTCTGGTTCCAAATTGAAAGCTAATATTGATTTATCAATTTTTTATATATTTTTTTGCCTTTCTTTTTTTGATTGAATTTTAAAAACATTGTTTCTCTCTTGTTGAGTCCTCTAACAAAACAATGTACATTGACTGTACAAAACAGTCAATGCTCTTTCCATGACATAGACTGACCAGGTGAAAGCTATGATCCCTTATTGATGTCACTTGTTAAATCCACTTCAATCAGTGTAGATGAAGGGGAGGAGACAGGTTAAAGAAGGATTTTTAAGCCTTGAGACAATTGAGACATGGATTGTGTATGAGTGCCATTCAGAGGGTGAATGGGCAAGACAACAGATTTAAATGCCTTTGAATTGGGTATGGTAGTAGGTGCCAGGTGCACCTGTTTGAGTGTGTCAAGAACTGCAACGCTGCTGGGTTTTTCACACTTTGCAGTTTCCCATGTGTATCAAGAATGGTCCACCACCCAAATGACCTCCAGCCAACTTGACACAACTGTGGGAAGTATTGGAGTCAACATGGGCCGGCATCCCTGTGGAAAGATTTCCTTGTAGAGTCCATGCCCCAACAAATTCAGGCTGTTCTGAGGACAAAGGAGGGGGAGGGGGGGGAGGGGGGGGTGTTATTTCAGAATGTAAACCTGTCCTCTCCTCCTCCCAGCTCCAGAGAGCTCCAGTGATCTGAAGGGCCCTGCTCCAGGGTCATCCTGCTGACCACCGGTGTATCATCCTGGCCAGGACGCAGAAGTCTAACCACCCCAGTCTGGCTGTGGGCAACAAACTAAAACTACAGGTTAGTGGAGTTTACCTCAGCCATCTCGACATGGAATTCATGCTGATCATTATATAAATGGCCCTGAAAACAAATATATTGCTATACCTACCTGTAAATGGGTAACAATGTGCATTAAATTCAATATTCTAATACAGTGTGTACATAAAACGTATTAAACTCGTCTGTAAAACCACAATGAGGACATCGACCCACTAAGCAAGTTTTCATAAATCATTAGGTACAGTGCAATAAATACTTCAGAGTAATCTGAAATATGGGCATTAATTCATATTCACATTTACACTACCAGTCAAAAGTTTGGACACACCTACTTTTGGACACACCTACTATGTTTGTGCTAAGAGTGTGCAAAGCTGTCATCAAGGCAAAGGGTGGCTATTTGAAGAATCTCAAATATAAAATATATTTTGATTTCTTTAACACTTTTTTTGGTTACTACATGATTCCATATGTGTTATTTCATAGTTTTGATGTCTTCACTATTATTCTACAATGTAGAACATAGTAAAAATAAAGAAAACCCTGGAATGAGTAGGTGTGTCCAAACTTTTGACTGGTACTGTACAACATAACCTACAGTTGAAGTCATAAGTTTACATACACTTAGGTTGGAGTCATTAAAACTTGTTTTTCAAGCACTCCACAAATTTCTTGCTAACAAACTATAGTTTTGGCAAGTCGGTTAGGACATCTACTTTGTACATGACACAAGTGATTTTTCCAACAATTGTTTACAGACAGATTATTTCACTTATAATTCACTGTATCACAATTCCAGTGGGTCAGAAGTTTACATACACTAAGTTGACTGTGCCTTTAAACAGCTTGGAAAATTCCAGAAAATGATGTCATGGCTTTAGAAGCTTCTGATAGGCTAATTGAAATCATTTGAGTCAATTGGAGGTGTACCTGTGGATGTATTTCAAGGCCTACCTTCAAACTCAGTGCCTCTTTGCTTGACATCATGGGAAAATGAAAAGAAATCAACTAAGACCTCAGAAAAAGAATTGTAGACCTCCACAAGTCTGGTTCATCCTTGGGAGCAATTTCCAAACGTCTGAAGGTACCACGTTCATCTGTACAAACAATAGTATGCAAGTATAAACACCATGGGACCACGCAGCCGTCATACCGCTCAGGAAGGAGATGCGTTCTGTCTCCTAGAGATTAACGTACTTTGGTGCAAAAAGTAGAAATCAATCCCAGAACAACAGCAAAGGACCTTGTGAAGATGCTGGAGGAAACAGGTACAAAAGTATCTATATCCACAGTAAAACGAGTCCTGTATCGACATAACCTGAAAGGCCGCTCAGCAAGGAAGAAGCCACTGCTCCAAAACCGCCATAAAAAAGCCAGACTGCGGTTTGCAACTGCACATGGGGACAAAGATTGTACTTTTTGGAGAAATGACCTCTGGTCTGATGAAACAAAAATAGAACTGTTTTGCCATAATGACCATAGTTATGTTTGGAGGAAAAAGGGGGTAGCTTGCAAGCCGAAGAACACCATCCCAACCGTGAAGCACGGTGGTGGCAGCATCATGCTGTGGGGGTGCTTTGCTGCAGGAGGGACTGGTGCACTTCACAAAATAGATGGCATCACGAGGAAGGAAAATGATGTAGATATATTGAAGCAACATCTCAAGACATCAGTCAGGAAGTTAAAGCTTGGTCGCAAATGGGTATTCCAAATGGACAATGACCCCAAGCATACTTCCAAAGTTGTGGCAAAATGGCTTAAGGACAACAAAGTCAAGGTATTGGAGTGGCCATCACAAAGCCCTGACCTCAAACCTATATAAAATTTGTGGGCAGAACTGAAAAAGCGTGTGCGAGCAAGGAGGCCTACAAACCTTACTCTGTTACACCAGCTCTGTCAGGAGGAATGGGCCAAAATTCACCCAACTTATTGTGGGAAGCTTGTGGAAGGCTACCCGAAACGTTTGACCCAAATTAAACAATTTAAAGGCAACGCTACCAAATACTAATTGAGTGTATGTAAACTTCTGACCCACTGGGAATGTGATGAAAGTAATAAAAGCTGAAATAAATAATTCTCTCTACTATTATTCTGACATTTCACATTCTTCAAATAAAGTGGTGATCCTAACTGACCTAAAACAGGGAATTTTTACTAGGATTAAATGTCAGGAATTGTGAAACTGAGTTTAAATGTATTTGGCCAAGGTGTATGTAAACTTCCGACTTCAATTGTACATAGGCATTTCATCATTAAGTTGTCTGGAATGGAAATGTCAGACCTCCACCACCCGTCACCACCCCAGCCCTACTGTACATCAGCCAGACCCTCACCAAGGTCATTGTCCCACCGTGTGTGAGCCTGTGGTTGTGTCAAGTTGTCTGGAATGGAAATGTTCTTCCTTCACAACCATAGAAACACAAACAAGCATGTCTCTTAGCTATTTAAAATACTTCTCAATCACCCTCTCCTCTCTTCTTCTCTGTTCTCAACTAATCCATCCTGTCTAACTTCTGAAGTCTTTCATAGGATTTCATCATCTCCTATCCCCTTTGAATCAACCCTTTTCCCACCCCTCATTAGAAGTCTCCATTGGCCTCCAGTCTCCCTTTTTGAAGGGAGTTGGAGCTCCAGACCTGGGTTCAAATACTATTTGAAATCTTTCAATTACTTTCAGCGTTTGCTCTAGCCTGCTCGGAGTGCCAGATGGGCGGGATTTGCGACTATTCAAGTGGATCCATTGTGCCAGGCAAGCTCAATCAAGCACAGCTAAAGTATTTGAAATGATTTCGAATAGTATTTAATTCCAGGTCCGCTTTGAACCGGTTTGAGAGGAGAAGAGCGGCGTGTTCTCTCTTTGATCATGATGTTTATGTAGAGGGCTCAGCTCCAGATGTTGCTCAATTGTTTCTGTTGCCACATGCCTGCACTTTCACCAAGACTCAGACTTTCCTTTTAACCCGAGGAGTCATGTCGTTTTTCTGTGTTGAATATGGTGGTGTTGTCAAAGCAAACCTAGCCAGGGGAAAAGATGATGAAAGTGTTATTATTATGTAACATCCACACTCCAACAGCTTAATGAGCTTGTAGTTATGTGAATGTTGATGGCAGGCCGGAGAACCCCAGAGCCTTCCCCAACACAGAAAATGGGTGGTATCACTTCCCTAGCTAGCAAGATGAAGTTAAAGATGGCAGTTGGAGAAAAACCAGAGGCCGACCAGCAGTAACATGGAGTAGTAGGAGATAGAAAACATATTTTAGACAGTTTTTCATCTTGACGTTTGTATTATGGTTGATCTGCATATGTAAATGTTTGCCTGTATTATAGTTGATCTGCATATGTGAATGTTTGCCTCTTTTTAGTACATTAGCAAAGTCATTTCACTAGTGTGTGTGCTAGGGTACCATAACGGGGTATTAGGTATTACCAGAAGTGCACACAAGGGACGCACAAAACAAAACAATTTAAAGAACATGGATCTTGATCTAGGAGGGGATTGATTGTCTGCTGTAACCAATAAGCTTGATCTTGACATCTAGCCACTTAGCTAGCAAGTTAGCAAAACCAAATTATAGCTGGAACCCTGCTCTGTATATAATTTATTTGGCACATTTTCGATAGGTAACTTATTTTTAAGGTATTGAAAATCATATAGTCGGTATGTCTAAATACCCCAGTATGAGTGTCAAACCGAATACTTTGAGCCCTTCCAGCACTCGATCGCTCGATATGCGTGTTCACGAGTCAATCTCAAACGCTAGTTGTTGAGTCATCGAGGGCTCCTCTGAGTCCTTCCGAAGCCTCTATCGACTGGGCATCCTATGCCGACTCGGCGCCCCTGGCAGCAACTTCTTCCCATGAATCTTACCATGTTACCCAGCAACAACAGTCACTACTACGCCGCCCTCAAAAATAGTCAGAATAAATCAAGATATATCAAGATATCTGTAAATAATTTTGAAGTTTAATTTCGAGGATGTCTTAGTTACATCTAGGTAAGGAGTTTCGTGTTTTTTAAAAAGTTTGATCATGTACATAAACTGTCCATTTATTAACTAGCTAGCTCTGAGCCTGTGACTTCATATGAAACCAAAGAGAAGCTAACCAACCAGCTAGCTAGTGCAACACTAAATGCAATGCTCCTTCCATAAGGAGGACTGACTGCTGGGAACATGTCTACAACTTCATCAGCAAGCTGTCAAACTATCATAAATAAGTGACAAGCTACATGCTGTTTATCAGTGCAATGCCCAACATCCTTAGCTAGCTAGCTAAAATTTCATCCCTGTGTTTGTCAGTGAAGCTAACTAGCAGCAGGCAGGCTACAACAAGCTAAAACCAGTTGATGAAATCACTGGCGACTGATATACTTGCACATATTTTGTGCAGGAGTAGAGAAATGTAGTTTTGTTTTTACAACATTCTCACTGTCTATCAGAGTATGCTCCTGTGGGTGCCCCAGGTTCCCAGTACCCATGTTTCGTAGCAAGTGAGTCATGCTATTTTGGAATATTGATAAGTGGCAGTTGGGACGTTGAGTGCGCATCGTCAATGCTCATTTTGGCCAAAACACTTGCATACTCGAGGGATCACTATCGAACAGTAGCCCTTTATCAATTGGCGAAGGGGACAAGATTTGGTTTTAGATTCAGCCGGTACAAAGGGTATATCGTCCAAGCCTAGTGTGTACTGTGAATGTTTGTTGTGATTTCTGCTTAATATTTTTTTAAATATTTTACCCCGGTGTGTGTTTGTGTGATGTCGTCAGTGTCCAGTGACATCATTAGAGGATGTGACATCAGGCCTGGTGCTGTGCTGCCTGGCTGTAGATGACCTCTCCTTCTCCAAGAGGTTCTGTCCTGAGCTCATCAACTTCCTGCTGGGTGTGCTACACCTGGCCATGCCAGATAAGACCTCTACAGGTACAGGTACTAGTGTGTTACTCTCTCTATCTTCATGAGTTATTGTACTATCTTCTCTTATTGGACAAATTCAATTAGGTCCCTCCTCGTTTCTGCCTATTTGCTTCCGTTTGGTTCCTATCGAATACGACCCAGTTATCAGTCTACTACCAGGTGGGTCAGTGTTGGAGGCAAACATCTGTGACACAATCATTCATTTCTGGAGCAAACGATTGCTGGAATCTGCTTTATCCGATTTAATGGTCCTTTGTAGCTCAGTTGATAGAGCATGGCGCTTGTAACGCCATGGTAGTGGGTTCGATTCCCGGGACCACCCATACATAAAATGTATGCACGCATGACTCTTAGTCGCTTTGGATAAAAGCGTCTGCTTAATGGCATGTGTTATATTATAATATTAGAACACAGCAACAAACTGAAGTCTGCGAAGTCTATCAGCAGGAACCGGCGTTTGAGATCTTGACATCTAGCATAGCTTCAATTCTGCCGATGACGGCTTGGCATGGCTGTGAAACTATTTCACCGGGCCCTGCTACTGCCATGGTGCCCTGACTGCACTCTGCAGCACTCTGCAGTATTAGACTGTGGCTGGCAGACACAGCGAGGCAATCACAGTGGAGACAGGCAGGCAGGCAGAAGTTGTTGGTTATTTATAAGTGTTCATTAGGACCGCAGTGGACGAGCAGCGTTCTACTGCTCCAACGTCAGATGTGATGAAAGAGAGAGAGACCAGGCCTACATGGCTGACTGAGTTGCATAGCAGCACATAATAACACATGGATTGGCATGTAAACTGACATCACAGCGGGTGTGGCTGATTTATGGTACTACGCCGTGTCGTCTTCCTTCCCTCCAGGTTACTCAGTGGTGCCGCCCTTCAGGTAGAGCGGGAAGGACAGTGACCTGCTGGTGCTGTCAGACCCAGAGTCCAGCCAGACGTGGAGTAAGAAGAGCCTGCCTCTGTCTGCCATGCTGCAGCTCACCCTCGCCACCGACCTGGACACGGACCACTACAGGTGAGACTGAGAGAGCAGGTCTGGAAGTGATATGGTGTCAGCTCCACCACTACACTGATTGTACCTATCCAGACCCTTCAGATACACAGCTCCACCACTACACTGATTGTACCTATCCAGACCCTTCAGATACTCAGCTCCACCACTACACTGATTGTACCTATCCAGACCCTTCATATACACAGCTCCACCACTACACTGATTGTACCTATCCCTTCAGATACACAGCTCCACCACTACACTGATTGTACCTATCCAGACCCTTCAGATACTCAGCTCCACCACTACACTGATTGTACCTATCCAGACCCTTCAGATACACAGCTCCACCACTACACTGATTGTACCTATCCAGACCCTTCAGATACTCAGCTCCACCACTACACTGATTGTACCTATCCAGACCCTTCAGATACTCAGCTCCACCACTACACTGATTGTACCTATCCCTTCAAATACACAGCTCCACCACTACACTGATTGTACCTATCCAGACTCTTCAGATACACAGCTCCACCACTACACTGATTGTACCTATCCCTTCAAATACACAGCTCCACCACTACACTGATTGTACCTATCCAGACCCTTCAGATACTCAGCTCCACCACTACACTGATTGTACCTATCCAGACCTTTTTAGATCTCTATCTTGAACGGTTAGGCCCAATGCTAAGGAGTAAGGAACAAATTGGGCTGTGTGTCTTCAGAGATCCGGCAGGCAGTGAGTGTGGGCACTGGGATAATTCCAATTGGTCAGAATTAGTCAGCAGTATTCTATTGCTCCTTCACACTACATTTGTTGTGTAGGCGGAGGGTGAGGGAGGGAGGGTGAAGGAGGGAGAGGGGGAGGGGGAGGGAGAGTGAGAGAAAGACTGAAACAGTTTAGCAAATAAGCCATGTCCTATGTTATGTGCCAGGTCCTCCTCTGCCATTATCCTAGACCTTACTCTGAATAATAGGTTTAATAATGAGGTGTCAAACTCGAGTGGACCCCTCCTCTGAAGTTGTTGAGTGGGACGATGTAGTCTGCACCCTATTCCCTATGTAGTGCACTACCTTTGACCAGGGCCAATAGGGAATAGGGTGCCATTTGGGATGCAATTGTAGTGTAGGAGGAGCAGTGAAGAGGGTCAACGTGGATGAAGTAGTGCTATTCTGAAGAATTGTCATCAAGATATGTGCTGCTGTTAGTTGTAGGGCTGGCATGGTAATTGTATAATCGTGTAACTGACGATTGTCAAATCACATTTTATTTGGCACATGCGCCGAATTCAACAGGTGTAGAGACCTTATCATGATTATGGAGGAACGCCACCATGAAAATAAAATAACCGTCATTATCGTTTTAATGAACTTCATTTTCAAGTCGACAAACTTTACCCAAAAGCAGTAAAGTAAAAGTAATCCTGGTTCACATCTAACAGTCAATTATCTTTCTATTTTTTTGTAATAATATTTTTACTTATTTTTCTCCCCAATTTTGTGATATCCAATTGGTAGTTACAGTCTTGTCCCATCGCTGCAACTCCCGTACGGACTCGGGAGAGGCGAAGGTCGAGAGCCATGCGTCCTCCGAAACACGACCCTGGAGTAAGAAGAGCCGCACTGCTTCTTGACACACTGCTCGCTTAACCTGAAAGCCAGCCGCACCAATGTGTCAAACACCGTCCAGCTGGAAACACCGTCCAGCTGGCGACCGAAATCAGCTTGCAGGTGCCTCTTCCGCCACAAGGAGTCGCTAGAGCGCGATGGGACAAGGAAATCCCGGCCGGCCAAACCCTCCCCTAACCCGGACGACGCTGGGCCAATTGTGCGGCGCCTAATGGGTTTCCCATCATGGCCGGCTGTGACACAGCCTGGGATCGAACCCGGGTCTGTAGTGACGCCTCAAGCACTGCGATGCAGTGCCTTAGACCACTGCGCCACTCTCGGAGGCCAAACAGTCGGTTTCTAAGGAGAGAGGAGACAAAACTAGCCAGTTTTAGAATGGTGTTGTGGAACAAACAGCTGACTGAAGGCTGCAGCCGATGTGCTGTTGAGTCTGTTTCCGTGGCAACGTGGAATCTTTACAAGGTGATGAAACTTTGTTGCTGCTTGTTTTGGAGCAAATGAGTATCATTAAATACATGCACCCAATGCCTTAGTAAAAACAGCACCCACTCGGTGGCAGTCAGGAGCAAAGGAGAGGACTCCCATGACTGTCACAACCCTAGTTAGTTTATTTGAGCAGTAATGATACTGGCACCCACTTTACTGTTTTAAATCAGTTGATTGTTTCCTCTGAAACACACACACACACCCTCCACTAATAAACCATCTATACCCATAGCCACTGGGTGTGCGGTCGTATCGTAATTGTCTAGATTATTGTGGGGCTTACAAAGACCGATGCAGGGCTGTGCTGTGTGAATAGACGGCCAGTGTGTGTGTGCTGCGTGAATAGACGGAGAGTGTGTGTGTGCTGCGTGAATAGACGGAGAGTGTGTGTGTGCTGCGTGAATAGACGGAGAGTGTGTGTGTGCTGTGTGAATAGACGGAGAGTGTGTGTGTGCTGCGTGAATAGACGGAGAGTGTGTGTGTGTGCTGCGTGAATAGACGGAGAGTGTGTGTGTGCTGCGTGAATAGACGGAGTGTGTGTGTGAAGTCTCAGCCGTGTGGTAATTATCAACATTGTGTTAGCTGCTAGGAATCAGCCTCATGAGATTAGAGAGAGTCAGTATGACCCTGTAGGGTAGTGGACTGCATTCACACATTCCACCCCGGGCAAGAGAGAGAAGTGTGTGTGTGTTTTCTGTGTGTCGGAGTGAGTGAGTGAGTGAGTGAGTGAGTGAGTGAGTGAGTGAGTGAGTGAGTGAGTGAGTGAGTGAGTGAGTGAGTGTGTCCGAGTGTGTTTTTTCGTTAGTTCGCGTGTGTATGTGCCTGTTTGTTGAAATGGTCATTAAATCAGTGTGTACTTGTATTCTGTCCTAATGATGTCCCCCCCCGTCTGTCCTCAGGCTGTCTCCTGTAGCCACATCTTCCAGCCAATCAGCACACTGCTCTCCAAACACCTTCCTGTCAATACGTACACTACAGCCTGACATGTGAGTGGAACTGCATTGTCAGCCAGCCCTGGGCAAATGTTGCTTTATGGCGCTAAATGAGTGTCCAAAATCGAGCGTAGAAAAACAAATGGTATGTTTGTTTGCTTAAAAGAAGCAGTGGTCACTTTAGTGACCCTGTATGTAACACTATGGTCAGGGTCAATTTCAATAAGGAGAATTGGAATTTCAGTTTACTTCCTGAAATGACTGACTTGAAATCGAATTGACCCCAACCCCGGACTACTCCTCATTCCCCTGCCTGCAACTACAGTGAGTCCTTGTTTTTGTCCATCACCAAATGGGAATAGCGGTCAAGCAGTAGATAAATGACCTTCACCAGAGGTCACACAGACCAGAAAGATGCTTATTCACAGCTCACCCTCAATGAAATGTAGGCTATTTCACCACTAGTTGTCAATGATTGTAAGTTGTCTTCCACATGTTTTTGTATAGGAGGTTTTCCACTACACAATGGAATGTATTCTAAACATGTACGATCTTCTAGCTGGTTAGTGAGTGGATGGTATCTGACAGCAAAACACAATGTTTCCAATGAACACCCTTTTATAATTTTTACCGACGCAAAGCAGAGCTTCCTGTTTTCCTTTTATCTGTGGATGTTGACTGACTGATTGAACTCATATTCGACAGCTGTAATATAACTGATATAACCTTGTACTTTGTGTTTCTTTTGTTGTTCCAGGAGGATCATGGGGAAGTCCTTGCAGCCATATCCGGCTCCCAGACATCACGTCCTCCCCTGGTGTTTGAGAAGAAGAAACCCATTCCTCTTAAACTGTTCACAACAAAGATTGTAGAAGTGTGAGTGAGACATCTCTGAATTCAGTTATTTGTGCCTTTCTGAAGATTGGGATAGAGAAGGACGATATTCCTCTGTAGTGTCACCTTAACTCATGTTGCTCACACCAAAGATAGTAGAAAGATTGTGGAAGTGAGAGAGAGTTGATTTGAGTTAGTTGGGAAGCATTACTCCTTGAAGATTTAGGTAGTGGAACTATTTCCTCGTTAGTGTGTTACCTTCACTTAACATTTTTATATTTCTTTTTACATGGCATTCATTTGAAACTTTCTCTCGATTCTTCTTATTTTTCTCTCTCTAGGCTGGACTATGGGAAGAGGTGAGGGAGAAGGAGAGGTTAAACCACAACTATACGAAGGAGTTTAAGGGAGCTCTGAGAGAGATCCGTAAAGACACCCGCTTCCTGGCCTGAGAGGTCACTGACCTCTGAAGAGGAGGAACAGACACTGACCTATTCACAACTGAAGAGGAGGAAGAACAGACACTGACCTGTTCACAACTGAAGAGGAGGAACAGACACTGACCTATTCACAACTGAAGAGGAGGAAGAACAGACACTGACCTGTTCACAACTGAAGAGGAGGAAGAACAGACACTGACCTATTCACAACTGAAGAGGAAGAACAGACACTGACCTATTCACAACTGAAGAGGAGGAAGAACAGACACTGACCTATTCACAACTGAAGAGGAAGAACAGACACTGACCTATTCACAACTGAAGAGGAGGAACAGACACTGACCTGTTCACAACTGCTTCGTACTGTCAGTTACAAACTTTAGTATTTTTTTTTATATTCTCTTTTTGTTTTCAACATTGTTGGAGAAAATTGCTGAGAACAACTACAGTGCAAAAGTATTCAGACCCCTTGGATTTCATTTCAAGTGGGATTACATTTGATTTAAATCATTTTTTGTCACCAATTTACAAAGTGGAATAATTGTATTTTTGATAAAAAAAATTCACAACTAAAATAGTTGAACCTCCTTTTGCCCTCAGAACAGCCTCAATTCATTGGGGCATGGACTCTACAAGGTGTCGAAAGCGTTCCACAGGGATGCTGGCCCATGTTGACTCCAATGCTTCCCACAGTTGTGTCAAGCTGGCTGGATGTCCTTTGGGTGGTGGACCATTCTTGATACAAACAGGAAACTGTTGAACGTGAAAACCCCAGCAGCGGTGCAGTTGTTGACACACTCAAACTGGTGCGTCTGGCACCTACTACTATACCCCGTTCAAAGACACTTAAATCTTTTGTCTTACCCGAATGGCACACATACACAATCCATGTCTCAGTTGTCTCCAGGCTTAGAAATCCTTCTTTAACCCGTCTCCTCCCCTTCATCTACACTGATTTGAAGTGGATTTAATAAGTGACATGAATAAGGTATCATAGCTTTCACTTGATCAGTCTGTCATGGAAAGAGCAGGTGTTCCTAATGTTTTGTATACTCAGTTGTTGCATAAGTAATAATAATAAATAATAATAAGCCATTTAGCAGACGCTTTTATCCAAAGCGACTTACAGTCATGCGTGCATACATTTTTGTGTATGGGTGGTCCCGGGGATCAAACCCACTACCTTGGCGTTACAAGCGCCGTGCTCTACCAGCTGAGCTACAGAGGACCACAGTATTCAGCCCCTTTGTTTAGGCAAGCCTAAATTAGTTCAGGAGTAAAATTTGGCTTAACAAATCCTATGTTACATGAACTCAGTCTGTGTGAAATAGGAGGGGTTAACATGATGTTTGAATGACTAATCCTTCCTCTGTCCTCCATACATACAACATCTGTAAGGTCCATCAGTCAAGTATTGAATTTCAAGCACAGATTCAACTACAAAGACCAGGGAGCTTTTCAAAAGCCTCAAAGAAGAGCAGTGATTGGTAGATAGGTAACAATAACAAATCAGACATTGAATATCTCTTTAAGCATGGTCAAGTTAATAATTATGCTGTGGATGATGTATTAAACCACCCAGACACATCAAAGATATAGTCGTCCTTCTGAATTTGAGCTGGTGGACAGGAATGAAACTGCTCAACAAGGCACTAAAGTAATACTGCAAAAAAACTAAACAAAAATGCAAAGCCTTTCGTTTGGGGCAAACACAACACATCACTGAGTAACTGCCTCCTTAGTTTCAAGCATGGTGGTGGCTGCCCATGGTATGGGTATGCTTGGACTCAGGATGTCAGGTATGCTTGGAATCAGGATGTCAGGTATGCTTGGAATCAGGATGTCAGGTATGCTTGGAATCAGGATGTCAGGTATGCTTGGAATCAGGATGTCAGGTATGCTTGGAATCAGGATGTCAGGTATGCTTGGACTCAGGACGTCAGGTATGCTTGGAATCAGGACGTCAGGTATGCTTGGAATCAGGACGTCAGGTATGCTTGGAATCAGGACGTCAGGTATGCTTGACAGGATAAATAGAAGCAGTCTGCTTTCCACCAGAAACTGGAGAGGAATTCACCTTTCAGCAGAACAATAACCTACAACACAAGACCAAACCTACACTGGAGTTGCTTACCAAGAAGACAGTGAATGTTCCTGAGTGGCCAAATTACAGGTTTGACTTAAATCTGCTTGAAAATCTATGACAAGACTTACTATCTAGCCGTGATCCCCACCACCTTGACAGAGCTTGAAGATTAAAAAATAAAATAATGGGCAAATATTGCACAATCCAGGTGTGCAAAGCTCTTATAGACTTACCCATGAAAGTCAGCTGTAATCGCTGCCAAAGGTGTGTCTAACATGTATTCACTCAAGGAGCTTTCTATATTTTTTTAATAATTGTTCTTCCACTTTGACATTACGGAGTATTTTATGTAGATTGTTGATAGAGAGAAATGACAATTCAATCCATTTTCATCCCACTTTGTAACACAATAAAATGTGACGAAATCCAAGGGGTCTGAATTCTTTTGCAAAGCCCTGTTGTGTTGTTGGTTGATATTAATTGAGCTGCTTTATTCTAACCAGTGTGTATAGAATGCTTATGGTTTTGATAATAATAATAATTTGTCATTTAGCAGACGCTCTTATCCAGAGCGACTTACAGGAGCAATTAGGGTTAAGTGCCTTGCTCAAGGGAACCAACAGATTTTTCACCTAGTCGGCTCGGGGATTAGAACCAGCGACCTTTCGGTTACTGGCACAACGCTCTTAACCACTAAGCTACCTACCTGCCGCCCCTGATGTTATTGATTCTTGACATTGACACATCCTATCATGAAAATATGTTCTCTACATTTTGAGGTCTCAACTTTTGTCACCACCATGGGTCAAGGGTATGCAATATCTGTGTTATTACTTGAAATGGAATACAATTAAAATGTTCTTCCTTTGTCCCAATAGCCTTTGCGTTGACTTATCTTACTATTATGCACATTTGCAAAAAGTATGCATCTGTTCAAAGTCACAAACATTCTATTTGTATTTATGATATTCTAATACAAGGTGGATGAGAACTACTACATTTCTAACAACAAACCCAGACATCATTTTTAGATTGGCACAGTTTAGAGATGCACAATTAATACCAGAAACAAACCACAGCAGCTGTAATGCACTCAAGACAAGCTTTGTTTATTAAGTAGTACTTAGTATACATTTATGTAAACGTCTTCAGTTATGTTACATAAAATGAAAATAGGTGGGTCAGGGGGTTTAAATTACATTTTAAATAAAGGTGATGTTTTGAAGAGTTAACCATACAGCAGCACAGCAGGACATGACGAGGGTACTCCAACGTTTGTGGGAGGTTGACTGGCGGGCAGGACTGGGAGGAGGTGGTGGAGTTGACGGGTGGGCTGGTAGGGAGGAGGTGGTGGGGGGTTGACTGGCGGGCAGGACTGGGAGGAGGTGGTGGAGTTGACGGGTGGGCTGGTAGGGAGGAGGTGGTGGGGGGTTGACAGGGGCAGGCAGGACTGGGAGGAGGTGGTGGAGTTGACGGGTGGGCTGGTAGGGAGGAGGTGGTGGGAGGTTGACTGGCGGGCAGGACTGGGAGGAGGTGGTGGAGTTGACGGGCGGGCTGGTAGGGAGGAGGTGGTGGGGGGTTGACAGGGGCAGGCAGGACTGGGAGGAGGTTGATGGGGGTGGGCTGGTTGGGAAGGTATGATTGAATGTGGTAGGGATTGGGCTGGGGTGGGGTTGACAGTGGGGAGGGGCAGAAGGAAGGGGTGGGAGGGAAGGTTGAACAGAGGAGGGAAGCTGGGAGGTGACAGGGGTGGTGGTAGGGGAGAACGTGGGGTGCACAGGCGGACCGTCTGGCAGCTGTGTGGGTCTCCAAACTGTGGGACACTGAGGTGGTCCTCTCCTCTGTGACGGCTCCTACAGGGGAGGAGAGAAACCAGTTACGTATGGGGGCTCAAGAAAACGGAGCATAGACAGAAAGTAAACAGAACAATTTAGTAATGATCTAATTTGGGTGAGTACCTTTTGATCTGAAGTGCTCCTCTGTCTGGAATGATATTTAGACACCTAAACAATGGGGATAAAAGTGTAAATGTTGCTCTATTTTAAGTGTGAGCAGTGCTCTGCTCGCAAACAGTATGAACAGTGCTTTGGTTGATTTGCAAGCAAAATTTGACTTGTGAATTATTTTTCTGATATCAGCACATTCCTGTGAGCCTCAGATTTCGACGAGCGCTGCAGAAACTTGTGTTAATGTTTCCCAAACATTTCCCTCCAATCTGACATGACTCATGCCCTACTAGGGGCGCTGTTGCCCATCCGTGATCCATGAAGACCATTAACCAACACACCTTAAGCTGCTGGTTCTTTCCCTGCCGAGATCCCCAGCCTGCTCTCCTCTCCCTCCAGCAGCTTCCTGTAGACGGCGATCTCAGCGTCCAGCTTCAGCTTGATGTGCAGCAGCTCCTGGTAGTCAGCCATGTACTTGCCCATCTCCATCTTGGTCTCGCAGAGCTGGTGCTCCAGCTGAGCAATGATGCCCTCCAGGCCTCCGACCTTATCCATGTGGGCCATCTCCATGTCCTGCAACTGCTGCTCCAGGGCCACGTTGCTCGCCCTCAGCCCGTCAATCTGGTTCTGGAGGTCTGTCACCTGGCTGTGGAAGGTGGTGATCTCTTCTTTCATGGCCATCATCTGGTTTTCTTTCTTGCCGGCAACTTCTTTGAGGGTTTCGAACTTGCCCTTGTACCACTTCTCGGCTTCCTGGACGTTCTTGGCCGCCACAGTCTCAATCTCGGCGCGCATGTTACGGAGGTAGGCGGCGAGGTCGGGGCGGTCACCGTCGAGTTCCGCGGTCACCTTGGAGTCCTCGATCTGTTTCATGAGGTCGGCGACTTCCTCGTCATGCAGCTTCTTGAGGAACTCAATCTCGGCCACCAGCTGTTCGACGCGCCTCTCGAGCTCAGCCTTCTGCAGAGTGGCGTTGTCGACATCTTCACGGAATTCCCTCAGGATCATCTCTGCCTCCTCTGGAGACGGACAAATAGAGAGTGGATAGGTTAAAAACACAACAGTGGTGGTGTTAGTACTATATACAGTATTGGCATCAATTGTATTTAATGGGGTGTATGATAAGCCAAAGACTTGCCTACATACACTTGACTACATACACACTAATCAAATGTGACAATCTAGGATTCTACATCAAAAAAGGAAAATATCTGGTTCCATGTTTCATGCAAACAAAAGTGCATCATACCCTCACCAACAACTGTTTACATCTATTTAACAATGACGTGAATCTATACGATTGGTGTCAGAAAATCTCCCCACTCCCCAGCCAGTGGTCAGTGTGACACTGAGACCCTACCTTTCAGTGCCAGCTCTTCTTCCAGTTTCATCCTCCACACCTCCACCTCCTCCTCAATGTATCCCCTCTCGATATCAGCAGCTCCTTTCTCATTGGTCAAGGCTTCGATCAGCTCCCTCATCTCTTTGAACTTGAGGTTGTACTCTTCACCGATGCCGGTGGGGCCTCCCTTGAAGCGGCCCTGTAGCGCTGCCAGCTCGGCCGTCAGCTGGGCGTTCCTCTGTTCAAGGGCCTGGACTTTCTCGATGTAGCCGGCGAACTTCATGTTCAGCTCCTGCATCTCCTCCTTCTCGTTGGCATGGACCTGGTGTATCTCTGTGCCCAACTCCACGGCTGAGGACACGTTGCCGCCCTGGTGTCCGGAGCGTCCGCGGTTGTTGTACGAGGATCCACGGCATCTGGAGGGAGAGGGGCTCTGAACCCGCATACTGCTGCGGGTCCCGCTCACCTGCAGGGACTGGGATTTCTGGGAATAGGAAGCTCCTCTCATGTTTGGTTCTCAGTGTATTACAAAGTGTTTTCTAGAATCAGATTGTTTGTTTGTTCTTGAGTATAGTTCCTGTTCCACTAAAAAGGATTCGAAGGCCTCTTCTGGTGTTCTCTCCCTTTGCTGGCTGGCCCACCTTGCTACTGTGCTGACAGTCTCTCAGATCGACCTGTGGCTTTTATAGGGCCACAAAGAATGTCTCAGACTCCCTTGAAACTCTTGCAGGGTTTTGACATGTTTTAAATGTGGATCATGACTCCCTTCAAAGACCTGCAGCACCACAGTCTTTATTTGCTAGCTAGCATTGCATTGTTAGTAGCGAGGACGGGTGGAGTTTGCACGGCCCTAACGCCTCCGTATGAAATAGTGATATGATCATGTATGCCCGCTATTTTTCACTCTCTTCTCACTTAGGGCGCCGCTAGGGACTCTTGAGGGAGGGGAGGGAGGGAGGGCATTAAGTGCATTGGAAAACACTGATGAAGTGACTTATGTTCTTCGGCAACAGGTTTTCCTGTCAGACTTTCTGACACAGCTCCACTGTAGCCTCCCTCACATATGAATCAAAGTGTCAGACACCGGTCTACAGTGGAGTCATTCTTTAAACAATACAATTAAACCATCTCCAAGAATACCAAGATACTTCCTAATGCCGGGAATGGCGTTAAGGAGAGCAGTAGGGTACTGCTTCATTTGAGTCTCAATGTAGTCTCAGGATATGGATTATGCCAAACGGCAATAATAATAGTAAAGCTATTTCTTAATGTTTTAGATTCAGGTGCCTCTTTTTGTATTAGAAAAGTATTTTAATAGAACTATGGACAACCACTTTATTAGTAAAAAATGTTTAAAGCATCTGCAACTGCACACTATTGAAATGTTTGGAGATATTTTTGACTTGATGTGGTAATCTGAACTGACAAAAAGGGAAATCTGCATGATTGATGAGACACTATTGGTTTCTGTAGTTTGTACAGTTGGCTCATACACTCTGTTTCTCCTCACTCAAATCAGATTGAAAACCACTATACAACCTTCAACCAACCAAACAATCTTTTCATTACTTTTTCACTCATCTCTACATTCATGGACGTGATATTATTTCGCTTTTAAGCGATATCCTCTGGGTCCACATTTGACATGTTGTTGTATATGGCTGTTACCCAAATAAATTAAATTAAATTCAATTAAAACAGTTGTTGACCAAATGGTGAGGTAATACTCTTGTATTAGCTAACATTAGCTATGTATTACATAGCTAGCTGTGGACTGTGTGTGGGTGTATCTGTCTCTGTGATGCCTTCAGTCCCAGTTGGCAGTCCCTTGTGAGGGTTCTACATTCATTGATATAAGATGACATGTCTTGACCAAATGGTGAATACCTCGATGTACCACATGTTTAGTAGTGAGTCATGATTAGCTTGCTGTTAGCGTTAGTGAGCTGTGTGTGTGCTGTGTGTGGGTGGATCCATCGATCTGACTCCATTCCCCTGTGCGGGCATCAGCCCTGAGCAGTTTCAATCGCTAGTCTGCATTCATTGACATGAGTTGACTTGTCTTCTTGACCAAAGTAATGGTGAATGAATATACACTGAACAAAAATATAAACGCAGCGAGAGAGAGACAGCTTTGGATACTGTACAGGAGGTGTAGTTTTGGGTTAACTGATTTAGCGGTTTTAACTAAGAGAGAATAGAGGAACATTTCAATTGTTGTAAATGGAATGTTTAGAATCTTGAACAAGCTTTTGGATCGAACAAAAGTGGCATCGCTACATTATTAGCCACAGACAGCCCCATGCCCCAATGCCAGCTATTTCACAGGCCTGGATAAACCCGCATACCCCCACTCACATTCCTTTATAATATACTGAACAAAATGCAACAATTTTCAAAGATTTTACTGAGTTACAATTCATATGAGGAAATCAGTCAATTGAACTAAATTCATTAGGCTCTAATCTATGGATTTCACATGACTGGGAATATAGATATGCATCTGTTGGTCCCAGATACCTTTAAAAAAGAAATGGGCCTCACAATGGGCCTCAGGATCAAACCACAGTATTTCTGTGCATTTGAATTGCCGTTGATAAAATGCAATTGTGTTTGGTGTCTGTAGCTTATGCCTGCCCATACCATAACCCCACCACCACCATGGGGCACTCTGTTCACAACGTTGACATCAGCAAACCGCTCGCCCACACGACGCCATACACGTGGTCTGCAGTTGTGAGACCGGTTGGACGTACTGACAAATTCTCTAAAACGACGTTTGAGGCGGCTTATGGTAGAGAAATGAACATTCAATTCTCTGGCAACAGCTCTGGTGGACGTTCCTGCAGTCAGCATGCCAATTGCAAGCTCCATCAAAACTTGAGACATCTGTGGCATTGTGTTGTGTGACAAAACTGCACATTTTAGAGTGTCCTTTTATTGTCCCTAGCACAAGGTGCACCTGTGTAATGATCATGCTGTTTAATCAGCTTCTTGATATGCCACACCTGTCAGGTGGATAGATTATCTTGGGAAAAGAGAAATGCTCACTAACAAGAATGTAAACAAATGTGTGCACAACATTTGAGAGAAATAAGCTTTTTGTGCGTATGGAACATTTCTGGGATCTTTTATTTCAGCTCATGAAAGATGAGACCAACACTTTACATGTTGCGTTTATATTTTTCTTCAGTGTATATATTGTATATAATAGCTTATGTTCAGTAGATAGTCATGATGATTAGCTAGCTAGCTGTGTGTATATGTATCTGTGATGCCTCCAGCTCCAGCCAGCCCCCCCCCCCCATTTCATAACAATTTCACTCTACATTCATGGACATGACCAAATGGTGAAGTAATACCAAATATTAGCTAACATTAGCTATGTGTGCTGTGTAGAGGGATGCATCTGCCTTATATGTCCAGTCCCAGTCAGCCTTATTCACCTGTGAGGGCATCAGGACTGAGCAGGTTCAATCTCTAGTCTGCATTCATGAATTTGACATGACTTCTCCTGACCAAATTAAGTAATGCTTTTGCATTAGCTAACATTAGCTATGTATGTATTACATGGCTATCTCTGTGTGGGTGTGTCTCTGTATCTGTATAATGCATTCAGCCCCAGCCTCAGCACTGAGCAGGTTCAATCTCTAGGGTGCATGTTAATTGGCTTGGGCCTCTGCTGTGACAGGAGTCATGGAGACCAACAATGCGGGCTCCAACCATAAACTAGGTTTCGTCCCAAATGCAGGCCAGGGTCATATTGAGGAAGTAGTAAGGAGGAAAACGTGTTCTGAAACGGAAGATGGACAGAAACAAGCTTTCTTATTGGACAAGATCAGGTAGTACCACTTCGCCAAGTCGTCAGTTAAATGTTGTGCCTACTTAACGCATTCCAGGTTCACTGAAGTTTGTGGCCTAACCTACTCTGTAGACCTGATAACTGTAACCATGGTTACAGTGACTTTAGAGGACGCTGTTACACGCATTTCGCTACACCCGCAATAACATCTGCTAAATATGTGTATGTGACCAATAAAATGTGATTTGATTTGATTTAGAGTGTTGTTGAAGTGCTCAGTTGCCATTTTGACTCCAGGGTTGTTTAGTGGCAGAAGGTTGTAGATAATACGTCTCTACGGCACCAGAACCGACACCAGAGCCAAATCAGATACTGGATTATTAAAATGTTTTAAGTTAAAGCTCTGACGGGCGACTCGTGCCTGGTAACATTGAGACTACCATTTTAGAAAAGTACCGTACCATTACTTAATAATGATGTTTCTATATTTAATTGCCAATAAAACTTGGAAGATTTGTTGATGAACACAAGGTGTGTGTTTCTCTTTTTTTGTGTGAGAATCACCTAGTTAAAACCATATAAAGAGCATTGTCTATAACATCTGATTTACATTATCTCGAGTCTCTGGTGATTAAGATGCCTTTGGCAGTTCATCTACAAACAGAAAGCTGACTACAGACACACACATGTACTCTCTCTCTCACACGCACTCACACGCATGCACACGCATGCACGCACACACACACACACACACACACACAACTAGTGTCTTTGGGGACTCTCACTGCCTTCTGTCCCATTTCTCTCAGCCCCCACCGTGTCACGTGTCTCTCTGAGCTGATATAATGAGGGTATGTTGCCTTCAGACCCTGCTGAGACTGGCATTGGTGGTGGAAAAGCCTCCATCAAATTCATTCTCTCTCTCCCTAATAATATAATAATAATAATATGCCATTTAGCAGACGCTTTTATCCAAAGCGACTTACAGTCATGCGTGCATACATTTTTTTTGTGTATGGGTGGTCCCGGGGATCGAACCCACTACCTTGGCGTTATAAGCGCCGTGCTCTACCAGCTGAGCTACAGAGGACCTCCCTCTCTCCCACTCCAGTTATGGGCTGAACTTCCCCTGTCCCTCCCACACTCTCTTTCTCGCTTCCCCTCCCTCTCTCCTGTTCCTGACAACAGTATGACGGATATGATTGATTGTAATGGTAATAGATGGTGGTGATAGTCTTCAAAACAGGACCTCTTATTGATCGTCTGCTGCTTGTCATCTCTCAGTCGGCTCGCCTGTCACATACTAATATTGTATTGTGAGAAAGCAGGCAAACCATAGAAATAGAATTTCTAGAATGGAATTCCTCTACCAGGTCAGCCATATTGAGTGTACCCATGAGTTTCCCAGTCACAGCCGAAGGGAGAGGTTCTATACTCCTTCTATGGATTATATTTCTATGAGGCAAACTCACTTGTTGTAAATAGACGTAATAAGGCAAACTGATGAATAAATAAATATTCTTTATGTTTTTATTTATACTTTATTCAACATTTAACAAAAGTAACTAAACTCCAACGTTATAGTTAGTTGAATTGTTTGGTTCCATGCTAGTGTTTGTTTCAAACTCCACCCAATATTTGATCTATCTGCACAATGAGCACATAAAAATACAGTTTATAAATCCATAAATACCTCATATAGCACTGTAGTCCACCACAAACAACTGTGACGATTTACACAAAAAAAATAGAGTACAGTATACTTCATTTCAAATTCATATAGTCGTTATATAATTATATAGATACTTAGGCGCTTTTTCATAAATTGTAATACAGTACACATCGCATA